CTGCCAGTAACTTCTTTCTGGCTTGGTTGGTGTATATCAGCCACTGTTTGAAGATGGTCATGTGATTGCCGATCATTGGAGCTGGCAGTCTGTTGACTAGGGAGCCGTCTGGGCTGTGTAGAGATATCTGTTGTTTGTCCTTGTAGCCAAGTGCTATCAGGCTGCTATCATCTGTGGCAAGGCATGTTGGTTTGCTGTCGGAGTTTGGTGTGAATTCATGGAGAACATTGAATTTCTTGCTGCATATTGATTTCATCACTATATAAGACGACAGCCTGGTCATCTTTGTTCACTGCAACATGGTGAGCGAACAAGTAATAACTTTCAACGTTAGAGGTGAAAGATAACTGACCATCATCAGTTGGAGTACTCTTCATCAGCTGATCATCTGTAACATGTGCTGTGAGCAGTTGATTGTCAGAGAAGGCTGATACACTGAATGCATTTGTAATACCATATTCACAATTTTCATCAATATATGTCTTTATTTCTGTCGTACATTGCTCCCACTTCTCTCTCTGATGTTGGACGCAATTGTGAAGCGTGTCTGTTGCCTCTGCAGCCAATGGCTTGTCATCAAGCACTAACCTTCCGAGCGATTCCACACATTTGTCAAAGTCCAGGGAGGACAAAATCTCCCCAGGCACCATGGCTGGCTGCTTCTGCTTCAGAGCCTGGATGCTCTGCAAGAAGCTCTTCTTGAGATCTGGAGCTTCAAAGGGACTTGCCTGAGCTGTGCGTTGGCTCAGTGTGCGTTGCATGTGGTTCATTGAGCAATCTCCTTACTGTTTGCAGCTTGAGCCGAGTCGAAAGTCCTGACTCGATCTTGGTAGATCGTCATCGCCTCTTGCTTCAGCTTCTTCTCCTCTGCTCTGATCTTGGCAACCTCTTCCTCAGCCCTCTCAGAGATCTTTTTGTTTGTCTTTTCAAACATGCTGTCCAGTTTCTTTTGAGACTTGTCTGCCTCAAGTATGGTCATGTTGAATTCAGCTTTGGTCTTGTCCGCTACAGCTTTAAGTTCTCTATCACATTGCTTGCAATCGTCTAAAACCTCATCCAGGCTGATGATAGAATGCTCATTATGAGCCTGACCAACTTTAGAGCATAGTTTACACACTAATTGCCCACATGTGTTACAGTGGTCAGTAATGTGCTCACTCACATGGCTTCCACATGTTGGAATAACTGTTTGCTTGCCGCTGTGTCCTGTCTGCATCCCGGATGAAGGAGACTGATCTAGCATGTGTATTCTGTGAGATTTCATCACTGTCAATTGTCCATGAGCCCACTTGCATTCTTGACAGAGAAGATGATCGCAGTCCTCGCATTTCGAAATTGCTGGATTGTTCTCATCACAGGCTTGGCAGGTACTCTCTGAACTTGGATCTTTGCTAAGCTCTTCCCATATTGGTGTGACCCCGGGCTCCCAGGAGACATATGCTATGGAGCCATCAGGTACCGGTAGGTCGGCAACGTTTCTTCCTGCAAAGTTGGTCACATGTCTGCACACAGGACACGGAAGACAGACTGTTTCTGGATCCTGTCTCTGCAGTTCTTGGAGGCATTTCAGGCAGAATTCGTGCTGGCAGTCAAGGACTCTGGGCTGCCTGATATCATCCTGGCAGATTGGACAAGTTTGAGGTTGAGCTGATGCCATATTTATCTCCCTCTCAGAGTAGTACCAGAAAATTGACCTGTTTAAAGTATAATAACAAATAGTCTGCATTGCAAATAAAAAAAGAAAACACCAGAATATCTGATTGTTGTATAGTGTAGTTCCCAAACGTGGCAAACTTTGACACACCTGACTTTCCTCACATGTGCAGTGTTGCCAAACGTCGGTGTTGACTATCGGAAAATCTCGCCAAAGTATATAACGTGCCATGTACATACAGATGTATATATGCTTAGCATGTCAGCAAAATCTTATCTAAGCAAAACATTCTGCAATCATCTTCGATAATAGACAGCACAGTGGCATTGCAAATGGTCATTGTTTTTTTTTTTGGGGGGGGGGGGAGTTTGTAAAAGGGCACTCGCACATCTTTGCTGAAATGTACACGGGTTTTATTTGTCTACTACACTTTGTCTCTGTAAAATTAAAGGGGGGGGGGAGGGAGAGCTGGTACCATTTTCCTAAGGGAGCGCTGTTCAAACCAGACAGTCATTGACACAAGTGGACACTAGGTGGCGCTTTCCGGGGTTTTTTTGCTGACGTTTGTGCGAAAGTCCAAAAAGGGCACTCGTAAAATGCTGCTGATAATTTCACAACCACTTGAAAAGTGCATTCTTTACAAAATATTGGGGTCGTAAATATTCCCTTAAACCCCCCAACCTTATCCCCCCCCCCAGGCTTGCTATGCCACGTCAGCATTGTCGGATGTACCACATATTGTGAGAACCTTCTCATATTTTCTAGTAACTGTTCTCTAGTATGGCTGCAACAATTCTGCCTTCTTACATTATAGATGTTCATTTATGAAAATTGCGCAGTACAGTACATCATGTGTATTTTTATTCCAACTGAAATTTTCCTATTCAATGTTGCCAGTCAGGCATACTTTGGACTCCCCCATACTCCAGTAAGGATTTTGTTCGAAGTGGATTTCTTTGCGCTGGATCAGGGTGTCAGTGCGAGGTCAAACAACAATGTACTGACTACTGGTAGTGGCAGTATATCACACCCAGAGGAAGGGACACCTATCATAATTTATACTGACATCACCATTTCACTGCGCACGACATACGTATGTCATTGGAAAACACGATGCATAATGTGTGCACTAGTACTGCACATGGGATAATGCATTCACTCATTCATCAGTAGCTGAGGCTTTTTGCCAGGCTGTACATGTGTGCTGGTACAGTCGACTCTCGTTAGTACAAAGCCTGTTAATACAAAGTTCTGGTTATAACAAACATACAGCCTTGGTCTGAATGGGACTGATGTTCCTCTTAATACAAAATTCTGATATAACAAACAATTTGGCTAGGTCCGAACTAGTTTGTTATAACGAGACTCGACTGTATGTGTTTTGTACATTATCTCTCTTCATGGCTACGGATATACTGAGCGCTTCTAACATGTCTAAAGGAAAACGTTTTCATTGTTTTCCCGGTGGGCAAGGTAAAGACGGGTAAATAATTCACAGATGCCATGAAAGCTGCTGCAAACTGTGCAGTAGAAATCCAAGATCTTAATTTGCTTCACAACGTACCTTGAAATGACCGGGGCTCATCTTTGATTCAAAACGAATATGAGTCTGATTGAACCAGAGTCGGATGTAACAAAGAACTCCTCCCATTCCCTAACAGAACTACTGTTTAATTTAATTCTCTTATTCAGTTATATACAGTTACATTTACTTTATGTCTCGGCATAGACTGTGAATCCAAGACAAAAAATTGTTTAAAGACAACAACAGAAACATATAGAAGCTCTTGAAGGATCATCTGAGAGAGATGAAATCTCAGTCAAGGGGCTCTCCTGACTAAAAGTTCACAGAAAAATTGAATTAAATTAAATTGAATTAACGTTATTCCCACTTGTGAGCAAAACTAAATGTGTACATTTGACAAACTCAACAAAGCACTCTGACTAGTCAAATTCAGTCAACAGACGAAAGCAGGCAACTGGTAGGCACAGCTGTCTCATCGATCACCTACAGTCAAAGAAGAGCTGTATCAAGTTACATAAACAGTCGCAGCCAGTCACCCTGGCTGGGAGCTCTTAACTGTTGAAAATGGTCACTTGATTGATTTTGACTGCAAAAACAACCTGGCACAGAATTTATGTTTGCTTAGGACAATGTAGGGTTAATTTGAATGAATGTTACAGTGATGGCAACGCATTATGCAAAAGTATGTATGCATTTACTGCATGGGAAAGGGCTGAGGGCCACTCAAAATTCAACATCACAAAATCATTGGCAGATCCAGGGAAGGGGGAGGGGCCAACGGGGGCCACCCTCCCCCCCCCCCCCCTCAACAGTTTGGGTTTTTTTAATTGGAGGAATGAAGACACCTTTTTTTCCTAATATTCAGGAAATAAATAAAAATGTTGGGTATCTCTCTCACAAGCCATGAGCTGCACATACCTTTTAGTTTTGTTATTACTAAGTGGAAATAGAATGTGGAAATAGTGCATGATATTTTATCCCTAATCCCCTTCCCCTTTAAAAAAAAAAATAAAAATAGTCGAGCCCTTTTTGCCCCCCCCCTCCCCCTTTGAAAATTTGGTTCTGGATCTGCCTTTTCACAAAATAAGGTCTATAGACACCCGTCACTGACTTCTTGTATGACGGCATATAATTTTCATATTTATAACATATTTTGGTAAACGTTATTGTTGCTCCAATAGCCCTTGGTGAATTTGTATGTAATTCAAAGGGGTCACTATAAACAGTTGAACATTTTTGAGAGCAGAATAATAATACATTTACTTTGACGTTTAATTTTGCAGAAACTTGAAGTGTTTAAAATTTTGAGTACATGTATAACATTTGTTCAAACTTTGTTGATCATCATTGAGCTTAAAGTCTGACTTTTTAAGAATTAAGATATTCACATTTCTGGATTCTGCAGAACAAGAGATTTCTAATGGTATATAACATTTGGGGGCGCTGAGTTTAGTAACGGAAATATAGACCACCAACTTACTTGAAGTGGTCAAACTGATCCTTGAGAAAATGGCATTTACTAAAAATCTTGCAGTTGTGTTACAGTGAATGCACAGTCAACTCATAAAAAATGGGACGAAAAAGGTTTTAAAGACGTCTGACAGAACAAAACCAATTGGAGACAGGTAGCACAGGACTTACAGATTGAGGTTCACCTGAAAACAACAATTCGACCACCCTTTCAAATTTTGGCTTTGCCCCACTGTACTGCAAAATGGCAATTTCCAACTTTAAGCTCATTTCATGGTGACAGGTAACACTTGGCGTTGTAGTGGTTGGTTGTAATAAACACTATCTCTTTCCTGGTTTGATTACATGTAGGTGTTGCTTGCTGGGTCGCCTGCACTAGCTTTCAGTATCTACGGTGTGACTGCCGTCTTGTGTGCGATTGCCTGCATGCTTCTACCCATCGAGACAAAAGGACGACAGTTGCTGGTAAGTGGGTTGAGTCAGGTTGGGTTGGCCGGGCTGGTTGGCTGGGCTGGGCTGGGTTAAGTGTTAATGGACCGATCCAGTAAGCACCGCCCCATGGTGTACTGACCAATCACAGCCGTGATTTATGTCCGACGTGCGTGCACAGAAGTCCGACATGCGTGCATGCGCGTATGTTGCGCGCGGCAGGAAAATGCAGCGTGGCATTGGAGAGGAGCACGTGGTAATTTGCCCACGTGCGCAGTTGGCGGGGCTTACTGGATCGGTCCATTGGGCTGGGCTGGGCTGGGATGGGTTCCAGAGCTGCCAACATTTTGCATCTTGCAATCAGGGAGATTTTTTCCACAATCAGGGAGATTTTTAAATTTGTTCATCAGAACATGGAAAGATTGGTTTATTTTCAGGGAACTTTCTGCAGAATCAGGGAGAGTTGGCAGCTCTGGTTAAGGGTTGGGTTGTTTTAGGCTAGGTTGTGCTGTGTTGGGTTGGGTTGGGTTGGGCTGGGCTGGGTTTTGCTGTGTTGGGTTGGGTTGGGTTGGGCTGGGCTGGGTTTTGCTGTGTTGGGTTGGGTTGGGTTGGGTTGGGTTGGGTTGGGTTGGGCTGGGCTGGGTCGTGCTGTGTTGGGTTGGGTTGGGTTGGGCTGCGTTGGGCTGGGCTGGGTTTTGCTGTGTTGGGCTGGGCAGGGCTGGTCTTGGCTGGGAATGCAGGGCTGGTCTGGGCTGGGCTTGGCTTGTTTGGACTGGACTGGACTTGGCTTTGCTGGGCTTTGCTTGGCTTGGCTTCGCTGGGCTGGATGTACTGGGCTGCACCTAACTGTACAAGTAATTTGTTGGATCAGTATAGCCTTACCCTTTGCAGGGCTTGAATTGGGTAGGATGTTTTAATTTTGGTTGGCCAGGGTCTGACTCTGTGAGGTATTGTAGGATATGGTTTGGGGTTGGTTTAGTTTGAGTGGAAAGAAGACCATTGAGCTAGACTGTGTTAGTTTAATTCCGTTTAGACTGTTGGCAAAAAGTACTGTTTTCCACATGTACATGTATCTTGATGAGTACTAAGTTTTACATATCTGTTGTCCAACTAAGCAAGTTATTTGCTTTTTGCTTTCAGACTTCTGTTCAACAATTGAAGGAAGATCTTCACAGACAGAAATGAAATTAAACTGCATATGGGCTTTGGCCCAGTCTGAAGCTCATTGGAATCAACATGAACAGTTAAGGCACATGAGCAATAGATACGTGAGTATTCATCGCAGAAGATTGCAAGGTTAGGGGGTTTGGGATTTATAAATAACACACTTATTCATTGAACGCTGCCATCATTTCAATGTGCAGTAGTATACATGTATAGGCTCCGTGCACAAGTACCCCCTTAATGGTTGCAAAGAGGGAGTTGGGGGGGGGGGGGACATTTCAAACTCATTGCCAATTGGTCCGGATGCTCAGTAGTAGGTTTGTACACGTTAAAAAAAAGTCGGGTGTGAACAAGTACGCGCACGCAAGTATGCAGCTCTCGAAAGTGGCCAGAAATCACCATAATTTTTTTGACCTAATTAGATTTTGAAGCACCAACTTTGTCATTGTTTGTGAAGTAAAGTTTGGACTAAAATACAAAGTTTGAATAATGTTGAAAACAATGGGAACTGCTGGATTTAACAAAAACTAATGCCCCTTTAATCACACTGAGATTTCTGTTATTAGTTGTTTTAAAATTCTAACCCAAAAAGTTTGTAAATTTTGACGAAATGCACTCTATTTTATAAATAAACAAAATACAAAAAAAAAAGTTGGGTAAGAGTTTAGATACTATTTAATGTAGTGGGTGGAACGTCATAATATATTTCAAATATAGGCATTAATTTCTTGCAATCGTTAAGTCGACCGATGTTTGGCATAACATCAAGTGGATATATAATATCAAGTGGATATTTTCTATGAAAGTTCAACAATTCGTATTTGTCAAAAATGCTTGTTTTCTATGATAGCACTTATGGACAGATTATTACTAGACAACACTTGTAGCAAGTATGGACTGTTAAGTTTCAAAGTGGTGACTTTGAGTTAATATGTTTGACGATGGCGCACTGTTGTTTGAATGGCTTATGTTGCCCACACTTAGGCCAAAAGAAAAAATATTCGGTCTCTGGTCAGACCAAAGTTCCAGAATTTTTTTTGGCTTTTTTTTTTTTTTTAAGCTTGGATTGTACAGACAAGGTGGGGTATTTTTTTGTTTTTTTGGTGTCCTCATGTACATTGGTGTCCTCCATAATTTGCCTTGGTGCTCTCGATCATTTGCCTTGGTGCAATTTCCCATTCCTTGGTGCTCTTTGGTAAAAAAAAATTGAGGAGGTGCGGCAATAGAGGGCGCTGTTGGAGCTACCACGGAACGTTTTGGAAAAAAAAAAATTGACGCGCATGATTAAAATCAACGCGCGCGCTGACCAGAGACCAACTTATTCTTTTTTTGGCCTTATTTGTGTTGATATATTAAACCCACATAAGGGTTCTTGTAAGATTTTTGTAAAATTTTTTTTTTACTAACTGAATAAGATGTGAAGTGTATGTACATGTATATTGGTTGCTGGTATATTAACAAACAATTTTGTTGTACAATTCCTTAAAATGTTGAGGCTGCAGAACTGCTATCAATTTGAATCAGGGTTTTATTTGATACCTTTGCCTTTCATGTTTTCTGGGGGAAAAACTATCTCAGCATTTACTGTCTGTGGTTATGATGTGAATGTCAATAAGTTACAAGTAGATTGCTAGATTATTTTCTCGTGGATCAAGTCAGCCTGATATAAACTAATATTAATAATAATATTGGATGGCTTTTTTGGGAGGAGGGTGACACAAGAATATTATGCACCCGCTATAACAAAATATTGTTATAAAATCGTGCAATATATTCTTGTATCCCCCTCAAACCCATCCAATATTATACAAATGTATTCTTGTCATCTTTTATCTAGCAGACAAAATATTTTTTTTTGTCTACCAAATGTGACCATATAAGAGCAGTGAATTTTTCAGTCAACTTAAGTTACACTTTGATACTGATATTCTTTTTCTTTTATATACTGGGACGTTTTATCAAAGGTCTTTCATTGAAAACAGGCTGTTGTAACATTTCTTCTAAAAAGGCTCATAATTTTGGGGGGATCATCTGGAAATTAGTAGCCAGTTTATCCCCTGTTCTCATAGTTTGTCTGATTTCTTTAAGAATGAGCATGTATTCATGACAACATGTTTCTGTGATATATTTTAAAATAAAGTCGAGAAAAAAATGGTAGAAAAACAATTCACATACTTAGAACATAATCAGGTTTGATCCATATGACGCTACATGTATAGATGAATCCAGGTACATAGTCACTGTACACGCATGAGGCCCCCTTTAATGGAGACACGTACAATAGCTAGCACAACAGTTTTGCCATTGAAGGGGGCCTTCGTGATGGAGGTGATAACGTGCTCGGATTGATCTATATTTGGGTGTAAGTTCGACAAAATTAAAGCACAAATGTATATTGAGTAAAGTCTTTCAGCATTGCCATTTGCCTGCTTTAACAGGTGCGAAGACAGTACTTAAAATGATATTCATTAGGCTCAAAGCATTACAGTATAAAGGTATTATTTTGTATTGAACTGGTTGATGCTGTGGAAATCCCAATGAAAGCACAACACAAAACTGCCAATAGAAAAAAAACCTAATGGGCAATTCCACGGTTACTCACGTTACATTTTTGATGTACTTTTGAGTTTCCTTGGGCTGTAATTACCTTATTGAAAAAAATTTAATAACTGTTATCCCCATTACATTTTTGTAACGTGAGTAACCGATTTTGTGTGTCTTGTTTATCATACATAACACATTTTTCTGGATGTCATCTTTGGTGCTTAGGTAGGTCTAGGTCTACTCTATTTACCATGGGGATAACAGTTATTAAACCTTTTCTGTAAGGTAATTACAGCCCAAGGAAACTCAAAAGTACATCAAAAATGTAACGTGAGTAACCGTGGAATTGCCCTAATGCATATGGGAACTAAATTATGTATGTGGATTTTCTATAAAGGGTCCAAAGTGTGACATTTTCCTGTCCCTGTTGCCTCTGTACTGTGCAATTTGCCATTCAAGCATCATTAGAGAATGATCTTCAAACTTTTTGTCATTCGTTGGATAGGTCCTCTGCTTCATGTAATCACATGAGGTAGAATACATTAAGAAGTGCATCCGGCATTACAAAATCATGTCAGATGTAACAGGGACGAAAAAGGGACCCCACATTTTAGAGAATGACCCACAGTTAAATCACTGCCTTCATGTTGTATACATTTCATTATAAATGGCCTGAAATTGTTACAGCTGAAATCAGTTATATGCATATGTAAGTATTCACAAATATTTACCAGAATACAGGAATAAAATGTATACATTTCATTATAAATGGCCTGAAATTGTAAAAGCTGAGATCAGTTTTATACATTCAGGCATTCACAAATATTTTCCAGAATACCGGAGAAAAATGTATACATTTCAGTATAAATGGCCTGAAATTGTAAAAGCTGAAATCAGTTTTATGCACACTATCAGTATTCACAAATATTTTCCAGAATACCAGAGTAAATGTTAACATTTCATTATAAATGGCCTGAAATTGTAAAAGCTGAAATCAGTTTTATACATTTAAGTATTCACAAATATTTTCCAGAATACCGGTGTAAAATATATCAAAAAATGTCAGGTTTTTGTTGTCACTCTGTGTGACGTATTCCAAAGTAATACCAACAAGAGATCAAAATTGCTCAAATTCAAGTTAGCTATTAATTTTGTATATATTGCTCAATCTTGAATTTGAATATTTGTATAAATCAGTGAGGTTATGTTTAAGGGAAATTAACTTACATGCAATATATATTTAAAAAAAACACAGAACATTATGTATTCTTTCGTGAACTGTAAGGTATCCAGAAGACATTATTGTAGGCTGTTGTTTTGAATAACTTAATCATGCAGTAAAATTGGTGAACAAATAAAAGGGTATATTTTCTCAAAGCTTTCATTTCCATGTGTCATGTGTGTAGTGTCCATAGAGCTATGTTAAATTACTAGAGCGCTGACTCGATGTACGAAGTGATGCCTGATGGGTGCATCCATGTTTGTGCACAAACCTATGAAAAACTCAAAATTTTGTATGGATTTTGTGCGGCTATTTGCATATCTGTGTTTGTATTATACAGTGCGTTATGGAAGCCGATACGCCCAAAAACGAAACGCACAATCAGCAAATGAGTGTTTCATTTTGCTCTGCGCATTCACACAAACACATTCGTGTATCTGCTGCATATGTTTTTTGCCATCACGTTTTTTAAGTCGCGGCACACTTAAGTTGTTTGCATATGAGCATTGCACTTAGAGTACACTTTCAAAATTCACTCCATCTAATTGCATTATGTTCTACCAACGCGCACATGAATTCAAAATGTCTGCTCGCAGGACGGCTTCAAAGTATCTCCGAGCGCAAGAATGAGTTAGTGCTCTAGTAATTTAATATAGCTCTATGGAAGTGTCTCGATTGTGCATTTATTACACCCTAAACCCCTTGATAAATCAGTGAAATCGTATCATTCAATATTAATCAAATCAATCAGTTAACAAATCTTAATCACTCAAACAACCAACCTTTCATTCTATTCAATTATTCAAACAATTTTCTGTTGATCAATGAATTTCAGCAATTTATTATTCTGCCGTTTGATCACCTAAACCATTCATATTTAATTGCCCCCTGGCTGATAATCAACAGTACACCGACAAACAGACAGTAATGAAACATCCAAACAATATTGCATGAATATCAGTTCCACAAATCTTTATTCGTTTACTGGAATAGCTTTTATTTTGGGAATGTGCAGAACCGAAAATGAAATAAATGGCCGTTATGTTAATGTGTTATGCCAATCTAAAATGATTTACTCGACATGGTCAAATAAATCTACCTAAAATGATAAGGTCTTGGGGGAATGCTAAACGTGATTGGTATTGTTCCAATAAATGTTAAGATTGTATTTTTTGATATATAAACCAGAATACATTGGTTATGGCGCTATGTTCACTGTAGTAATACATTAACTATCACACTATTTAGGACCATTGAACACTGTGCCTGGTACAAACATCAATATTACCATTATAATATTGTGCATATGAGACGATATAAACTATAATTGACGAGGGCAAACTAACGACGAGTTACAAGTTGACAATGATTTCAAGTTGTGGGTAGGACTGGGACATGGAACAATCATGTGTTTGCTAATGAAGAGAGAGCTCGACGATGACCCTACTAGTCAAAGTTGACTACGGATGATGCATCCTAGTTTTGTGTCCTATTGGAGCAGCGTTGTCTGTGACTATAGAGACCAATTGAGGACCCTAAAGCCACCATAAAACTAAGGAAAGAAAAAGGTTTAAGACCCAAGATTTACCTCCACATAATGAATTTGAATAAGTACATGTTTTGTTTAGTCTTTCCAAAAGAACTTTCAATGTGTGTTTGAGCCAATAATCGACAGTACTGTGTGAACTAAACAGGAACTGGGTAGGCATAATAGATTAACATCATCTTACTATCACTGTATACCATTAATTAAGCAGGATATAATCATCAAGTTAGGTGCATGATGAGCACAAGCCACCCATTGACATCACTGCAATTTGAAACGTCAAAAGTCAGGTAAAAATTATGGATGCGCAAATTAACATACTCTCATTATGCAAAACCTAAATGCTTTCTATCCCGTTATAACTGTTTTTGCAAGCGGACAGTTGTTTTCCTTAATTCACAAATACAACTAAGAAATCAGGGATTTCTGTTTGAGAGCTGTTTGGAGTTACGTATCACAGACAGACCAAAAGACAGACAGATAGACACTGTGACAGACAGACAGACAGTCAGATATTTCCTGAAGATATCACACATCATGTGGAGATAGACGCCTCAGTTCTGCAGGATGGCTTTGTAGCTTTCGTGCACTAAGTTGGAAAAGTCCACAAGCTGACACTTTATGGACAACTGTTTAAAAAGAAAAAGGAAAGCGAGAAAAAAAAATGTTAAATACAAAATTGGGCAGCGTATAATTTCAAACTGGTAATGGTATGATCACTGGGGGACGGTTGGATGATTGACAAAGGCATGGCTATGGGCTCCGTGCGCCAGCGAAAGAGGGCGCCATTTTACCTAGCAACGACGTCCTATGGGCGGGACATTTAGCTGGTTGGCGCGCACCGTTCCTTGTACTTTGTGTGTGATGCACGTTACTGTACACCAGGGGATTTGTACTATTGTCAGGCAAGATGGCGTCGGTCGGTCGCCCCCAACTGTACTCTCTTTGCCGGTGAGGGGGTACTTGTGAACGGAGCGGATATGGAGTTAACAGGCAATACCCTACTGCCTACCAAAAGCAGTGCAATATCAGTGATGTTATGAAACATATAAGTTACACTTTCTTATCTTTAAGTGCTTTTAAATAAGGCCGCAAAATCAAAACTACACGATGCAGTCATTATTTTTAGTAGGACATAGCCTGACGCTTCACTGCATTTTATGACCCTGCAAAGCGCACATGATTTTTTACTGCGAGGGCACATCAATTTCACAGACAGTCAGAAGAAAGCAGTTGAAATAGTGACGCATCAAAGGAGATTTCATTGCGCATACCAACATCTAAATGTAACTGGGAATTTAGAAAAAAAAGGAGGAAATTCCAAACCACACAAGACTTTGTACAGTGTTTTTCAATTTGTAATGGCATTCATGAGAAGTAAAACATGAGCAAATCAGGGGATCTGAGGAAACGTTGCATGCCTGTACTGTTCGTGCGCGGAGCCCATAAAATTGAGCGCTGAACTCACCGTAGCCGTTGGGTTGCCTGGCTGCATCTTGATCTCTGCCATGATAAAGATGTTATTGGTGAGCTTGAGGGATTGGTACAGCATGTCCTGGCCGTCCAGGTTGCGCCGGGCCACGGTGAAGATGTTGCTGGTTTTCAGTTTCTGGACCGCTTCATCTGTAGGTTGTAACAATAAACACTTCAATGTTGGCATACACATACTATTTAGTACCACATAAGGCAATTTGTTCATCCGAGACAAAAACGTCAGGAAGATTTTTATTTCCAAAGAAACCACGAAGGGTAACCGACTTGGTGCATATATACACGGATTGAAGGCGTCTGACTAGCGCCCCTTAGACAATGACATTGACAAAATGGGGACCCCCAACATAGGGCTGGATAGATCAGTTGGTAGAGCGCTGGAACGGCAATCAAGAGGTCGCAGGTACAAACCCCGCTCCAGTCAATTTCTGTGTTCAACTTAATTTCATATAACGTTCTGAGGAATTTCCTTATCAAAACTTTCAAAAAGTCTTCTGAAAGGTTCCTTAGTAGTGTCAAATATAAAAATTGCCACACTTTTGTGGTCATACAATTTTTATGAAGAATGTGATTTGAAAAAAAATAATCACAACCCGAGTATTCTAATTGAAATTGACGAAATTCGTTAAAAAAAATAAATTAAAGAACCCATTTGATTTCTTATATCTTTTTACAACATGCAAAATGCAGGAAGCTAATTTAGTTTTTTCTTTAATTCATTGTCAGCTTTTTGCAATGAATCAAAACCACTGATGGTCTGCCTACCTGCCGTCATGTGGATTTCAATGGGGAACTGGACCTCATTAGCAGCGGGTAGGTTCTTCCACTCATTCAAGAAATCACGTCTCTCTGTCATGATATACAGGGGGAAAAAAACACACACAAAAAAAACTCTTGAATAAGTTATTTGCAAAGAGCATACCCTGCAAGTCTTTAAAGTTTTACGTTTTATGAGCCGAGCGTTAGGGAGATCACCCAAGCTCAAAGGGGAGTATGGAATGAACGTGAAAAGTAAACGGAAAGGAATGAGCTAATGTACAAACTCAAAAGAACATGAGAAGGTATGAACAACAAGGATGTACACGTATTTCAGGTTGGACAGAGCGTGCAAGTCTCGCCGGTCTGTGCTGAATTTTTATTGAAACGTCTGGGTACAAAACACTGACTAGTCTAGTCACAGACCCCGCAGTTTTTCAATTTACCCAATTGTTATCTGCCTGATCGACTGAACAGAAGTTGAGGTCAACATTTGACAATTTTATAATAGTCATCAATTCACCATGAATTCAACGTGTTGTAAATTGCAATGCTTTCTTTTCTTTTCAAAAACATCCCATTTATTGCCCTGGATTGGATGGGCCCAGTCAGGACACAAAATAAAAAGCTAAAAAATAGGACGTTACACACGTTGTAGATCCTATACAATTCAAGAATGTGCACGTATTCACGTAAAATCTGGCAGGTTTTTTAGGTCAACTTGCACGCTCTATCATTTGTCTATTGGGGTGGTTTGTGGACTTGTAACAATTTGTCTTGAAAAAAAAAAATGCCAAGGTTTTTGTGAGTTTAAATGTAAAACTTTTGGAAAAGCGTCGTAGTTTTATCTTCAAGATTGTACTATGGGTCTGTCCTCCAACAAGTTATGGAGTTATGTGTATTATGAAGAACAAGGTATATATATACATAAATAAAGTAGCTGAAGTCAACCACTCTTTATTCAAGTCTTCATAATAAGAATTATTAAACTAATCCTGACACAGCAGAAGGGCCTATTCCATGCGCAGAAGTCGAAACCATCTATTGCTCCGAAGAAGGACAATTGGCTGATGTTGAACGACTTGTATTTCAACTGGTTACATATTCTGTCATGAATGCAATATTTCTCTGTGTAATCAGAATTCTGAGTTAGATTGTCAAGACGGTTGGATCAGGGCTACAAGTACGATATCATTACCAAGGAGGAATCTACAGGGGCGGTTGTGGACGGAAAGTGGGTGGTTATTTTCTTTTACCTTTGGATCTATCCTGTTCATTCATACCTTCTACAAGCAAGCAGCGGTCCAAAAACAAAAAAAAATAAAGCAAAACAAATATGATCTGGCATGAATAATGAATGAGGTCTGTGAAATAAGCTGCATGTTGGAAGAAGGTAGAAAATTCATCTTTGTAAAAAAAATTCAAACAGAATACTGCGATGGTTATTTGGAAATGAAAGATCAGCATGAGAAGTATAAGCCCAGACATGCCAGACATGCACACATTGTATCGTCGTATCCATGGATGCAGTCATGTTCATTCATTCATTCAACCTCTGAGCATTTTTTTTATCCGGAACCTTCTTTCACCTAGTCTGAAAATCAGATGTTCACGTGTGCTGAGACACATTAAGAACATGTGATATGTATCCAAGCACGCATCATTTGTATGCGACCCCACGCGCCAACCAATCAGAGTCGACTTTAGATGTCATTTTGATCAGAAATGTGGACTAAGCTGTTGATTGGTGAATTGGCGGCTTACAGAAGACGGATTACAGAAGACGGATTACAGAAGACCCGATAGAAGAGGCCCGCTGTATAGTCAGAACCTGTAGGTCAAGAAACAGTCTTGTTTTGCAATTGCTGAATCTGTACGAATATCAAAGACGCCTGTTTTGCAAGCTGTTATTCCCTCCTAGTGGGTCAATAATCAGGGCAATTATGTCAAACCCTTTAAAACCCTGCAGGTCAGTTTCAGGTGAAGGGATATGAAGTGTTAAAGTAGCTGTGTCACACAGAGAGTCACTACACAAAAAAAAAAAAATCCAGCACTGTGGAAAGTAGCGAAACCAGCACTGTGGAGAGTAGCGAAGCATACACAGATCGGATGCTTAACGGCACAAAAGAAATGTGCAGTGATATGAAGTGTTATCCAGAGAAGATTACGTCAAAGGAGCTAACCCTAGAGTAGACTTGGTGCCAAGTCGGTAATTGTTTTGTCTACGGTAACCGGTTACTGGCTCCAAGCACACAAAATATACATCGCTGCATGCAATGCGCGTAGTCTGGTTCCCAGACCAAATGATGCTGACTATTGATGTCGAATTACTGACTTGGCGAATACGTTTTCAATTTTGTACACAACATATGTGAGTATTTTGAATCGCTAGCGAATTCTATGCGAGCACTCTGATTGGTTCAGATTCCAGAGCGTATTCTAGGCTGCCACAGAAGATCTTTCTAATTACTTCCAGGGTTTGCACTTTGTGTTGTGTAATATTACAAAAAATACTTTAGGGCATACACGACTCAAATAAATAAGGTATATCACAATGATACATTTTATTTCAATACACAATAGACGTAGCTAACGGTTTTGGCCGTTAAATCGTCGCCAGATCTGCAAACATGTCCCCGACAGGGCCCGACCTATTGAGAAGAACTCCCCATGTATCCGGAATGAATGAGTCCTCATTTGCATAGCGGTGCGCCACTGGATCTCACCGCAAACCATAGAGCTATATAATAAAGAACTAGAGGGCGTACTTCCCATTAGCCGCAACGCTTTACCGCTGTGCGCGCACGGAGCACTGTCGGCCATTGCCAAACCGGGCAAACAGAGCGCGAAGTACCCGGATGTTGTACACCGGGCGTATACACAATACACATGGAAGTGTAGAAAGTGCGCGATCGGTGCGATTGGAATGTACAAAATGTATACGGCAAAATTGTTTTTTACTGAGCTTTTAATTTGGGTTTTTTTATTTGGTGAAAAAGGAAAATTGTACCTTAACTTCCTGAACGCGGCGTATTAATCCAAACACCAAAGTTCCAGCAACAGACGGGGAATTCGGGTCGTCGTCATGTACCACCGTACTCGCAGGATTCACCACCGCCGTAGGCTGCGACATTGAAGGGGCTGGCCGGGGCGCAGGCACGGAAAAGGCCCGAGGTACTACTGACCTAAAAACAGGATGGTTTTTGTCAGATGATGTCTTGTTGATGGCTTATTTTTGTTCACAAATCGCTCTGTGTACAGTCTTCCATGGTGATACAGGACGGTTTTGATAAACAATTCGCTGATTCTCTTCACAAGTTGAGTGCCGTGATCGTCTTCCTCTGTCAAGTCCTGCTCAAGGAAATGCTCAGACAGATCACCGAAAACCGATCCGCGAACTCTAAGTAACAGGTCTTGCTGGACGGATGTAATAAGAGCTGGAGAAGTTCCTAGTGGATTAGGCCTACTTTGCGTACCTTGTGGAACACTAGTCAATGCTTTCCTGTATACACAAAATTAAAAATAAACTGCATCTATTTTTGGCTTTTTGCCTCTTGTTCAGGCTTAATTGTGTTCACTCGGCAGTGGAGGGGGAGCAGTTTAATTTCTTTTTTTCTTTATTTCTTTTTTTTGGGGGGGGGGGATTTCCTAAGTGAATTCTTCAGCTTTATTTTCTTTGGAAACAATTCCAACCCTTGAATTGGGAAAGGAAAAATGTTCTCCCCATATGTGCAAGAAATGCCAGTGGGTTCAGGAGGAGCAGATTTTTTTGTGAGGGGATAAAAACTTCTGAGGCTGAATAATATTATTGGATGTATCAATATGGAAAGAACCGAATGGAGCAGGCTGGGTGATGAAATTATTTTGGTTGTATAGGGTCAGTGAAATCACTAATACTATTGTGATAACCATAGAATTAATATTTGAGTCCAACTTTGGTGAATTTTCTTTAAGGGACTTTAAATCTGACACCACCCTACTGCAGACATCTTTGCTCTGAATTCAGTAATCTGACATCCCCAAGTTGAAACATGCCCTTAGTAACCCAATCCGACATCCCCGCGTCTGAAAAATGGATGCATGCTCTTAAAGTTTTATAAGAAACTACCACAAAAAAATATTTATGGAAAAAGCAACAAGTCAAGGACTCAATATGGCAAGAAGCCTTATCTTAACTCAAAACATGAATACAACAATATTTTATTTCAATTTATTATAGCTGGATATTAAACAAAATGTTAATTGAAATAACAAACTCATGTAAATTGGAAAAAAAAACAAGTTAATTGAAATAAAATCTCAAAATCAAAAATTCAAACCAGGAAAAGCAAGGAACAAAAGCCACTCCTATCGTTAAATAAACAACATGCAAAGCATTAGATTGCACTTTTCAAATTTGATGACTGTACGCCCTGCCTGGTCCTTGTGTTCCCATGTATACACATTTTTCATAAATATTTCCTAGCTTATAAATTTGAAATAATTTTCATGTTTTCCTCAAGAACACATACAGCATTGAAAACCTTACCCAAAGATAGCACAGTCTATATAAAAAGGACCGCAGTATCCCTGCCCCCCTCCCCAAAGAAAAAAAAACTGCTCTATCCATTTCACTTTACAAAGATATCTACATGTATATTCAAGAAAGGACTTTGTTTCTGAATTGGGTACATGTAGTAATGTCAATAAACGAAAACTAACCAAACAAGAAAAAATATCAAATGTTATAACAAATGTACATGTTCACTTTTATGCATAATGATATTGCAAGCATTGCCTTAAGTGCACACCAGTGGTGTAGCCAGGAATTTTTCAGTGGGGTGGGGTGGGGTGCGGGGGGGGGTGGGGGGGGGGCGCTGGGGGGGCTGGAACATTTCATGGGGGGGCGTCATGTAGATCAATGAATTTTTTTTTAGAAACTCAAAATCTCAGTGGGGGGGGGGGGGGGGTGGCGACTGGGGGGCGACAAGGTTTCATGGGGGGCTGTTGCCCCCCCCCCACGCTCCCCCGTGGCTACGCCACTGGTGCACACACACACAAATATGAATATGAAACATTTAAAAACATAGTAATTTTGAATTAAAAGAATGTTAGTGTAAAACTGAAATAAAAATCAGCAAATACTCAATTAAAAACAAATCAAAACAAATAGAATAATAATTAAAGACCAACGATGAAGCAATATCCTGCCTTAAAAGTCTGTCTGTGGTCTTCACGATTTGGAAGACATCATCTCTTGGTTGAATTAGGCCGCCACGGTCTTTTCTGGTGGTGAACAAGCTTTCTGATTGAAAGGCGGAGTCGGATGTATTCTTGTGCAATGCAACACAGCACTGTGTGCACTTGCAGTCCGATGTCACATGTCGACTTATATACCCAGCCAAGTAATGTAGAATGTGGTCATGAAATTCAGACGGCTCTCTTAGCAGCTCTGCAAATGTTTGCATGTTAGCATTTGTATGATGGACAGAGGCTGATGGCTTTGCCTTGAACAGCTCATTTAGGGGCTCTTCAACGCTGACGTTGGCATTTTTAGATGGCATAATGCGGTTCTTCAAGAGGATTGCACGAAGTGCCCATTTGAACTGCAGGCAGTTAGGATTGTTATTCCATCCACCTCGTCTCCGAACTCGACTGAAGAACATCTCCAAATGATCTTGGGACATCTTGTATGTGCACACATAATAGAAAGGCTGTGAAGCTGTCAAAAGATCATGACAAATAGCAAGTACTGAATCGATTGTTGCCATGAACCCTACCCATGCTGTCTTTCTCCTGCCCAAGCACAGTGATTGTCCTTCAGCATCTGTAAGGGCTTTCAGATATTTCTTTGTGTCCAGGAGCCATTTCTGTCTTGTCGCAAAGTTAGATGTTCTCATCGGACTCTTGTATCCCTTTCCTCTAGGGTGCTTGGAATTCATGAAATCAAACAGTTTGTCAACAATACGTATGAACTCTGTGGTCTTCTTACTTCCTGCAAATTCAGCTAGGCAGAGATCCTCTCTCAAGAAGTCAATCGCGTCTGCTACAGAGGAGCTCAGTGCCTGCACAGCCACTTTCACATTCATCTTGTGTTGTTGCCATAAGATGTGCTTTGCTTTCAACTTATTTGCAAGGTGCAAATTATCCTTTTGCTGAACTTCATACAATCTTTCGATGTACCTCCAAGATATCTCATCTCCGTCGTGATAAATTGTCCCCATGGTTGCTACACAGTTTCTAACCAACTTGATTAGGTGGCATGCATCAAATACAAAGTAGACATTTTGAGATGGATCTGATGGGTGAGGAAAGTGTGATCGCATTGCAGAGGGGGTGATCGAACAGCCCAACAGTGATGCTGTAGTCTGGTTTGCATATGTACCATCACAAACCACACCATGTACAACCATTCCTGCTTCTGTAAGTACACAAATAAGTTGCTTGATGATCTCAGCTTGCAATGCGGCAGAAAGGTGATCTGCTAGGTAGTAAGCAACTGGATACTTCCAACTGCCAGTCAATCCTACAGCCATGAATACAAGGGCTTCTGTTGCAAGACTGTCTTGAAAAGACGCCAAGAGATTTCCACAGTCTATGAAACCAGCATACTTGTTGTTCTTGGGGTCATACACCACTTCCTTTTTAATTGCCATGGCATCAAGCACAATCATGCAGTGCTTCTTCAAGGAATCCTCAGCTGCCATTTCCTTGACATGATTTATGACTTCAGTCAGAAATCCTGGTTGGCAATTCAGGCTAGCGCTCCATTTACGAATTGTGCTTGGATGTGGGAGATGTAAATACTGTCTTACAAATTCATAGGCCTGGGCACTATAGAAATGCAGTGTGACTGCAAACTGCTTGACTTGCTCTGAGAACCTGTGACCATGTTTGTCTTTCTCCATTGATTTCAGCTCATTTTCGATCAGTGTGAATGTGTTTTCTCCAAAGTTAAGCTTCATCAACTCCAACTGTCCCTGGTTTATCATGTTTTGATCTTTGACTGCTTGAAGAAGACTTGAGATTTTTTGACTTTGACGCTTTACTTTCTGTTTCGCCACTTTAAGTTCCTTACGAACCTCTTGAAGTTTGTCGGTCGTTTGTTTTAGTTTTCCACTGACTGAACTTATTGATGTAGCATACCTGTGCTCTTCTGCAATATGAGCAGCTTTTTGGGGAGGTTGTGGGCTAGGATCGGCTGCGGTCATCTTTCTTTTAGGTGGAGGCCTCTTGCTTGCTTGCTTCTTTTGCTTATGTAGCGGGAAAGCCGGGAAAATGGAGGGTATTGCAGACTCCCTGAGTTCATGCTGAACAACTTCCTGGTCATCTCTGGGATGTATACCTGCAAATGTTAAGGAAATTTTTTGCATGTTTAATATCATATTTGTAATAAAGAATATAGAGTTATCTTTCATTTAATGAAACTTTTTGTTTATTTTTATTACCAAAGGAGTCTAAGCAATAACTGAATGGCCAACAACATTTCTGTCACTAAATTATCCATACACAATGTGAAACTGATTGGATCCCAAGCTAAGGAAAATCAGTAGGTAGTAGGTAAATGTACATGTAAGGTTTAGCTTGAACAATTAGTTAAATATTGCAAGTACATCACTGGGTTCTGTCCCTTCCCACACAACTATTTACTCCGAAATTTTGAAACCACAAGAACACTGATACAAGTAGAATGCTGCTGTAAATATTTATCTTCTGGGATTGACTGCAGCTATGTACACATCAATATACCGCTTACGTAGTCATCCTTGTCAAAATGTTCACTACACACCAGATGATACTTGGATGGACAAAAGTTTGCTCTGCTGATTGCTGCCACCCACTTGCTTAGTAGAGTCTGCTTTCCAAGAGGGAATCTTAATATAAAAGAAAATCACCCAAAATAATAAATAACAAAACATATTTTCAATCACCCAATTCCAAAATAGATTTTCATTTGTGTATCACTGTTTTTGGTTTGCACAAGTGGCGAGTTGTGTCAATTAAATAAGCTCAATTAAAAGCAGAAACGACTGATTGGCATTGGCGTAGACCCCCCCCCCCCCATGAAACGTCATTGCCTCCCCCAACCCCCGAAAATTTGCTAGTCCTTTTTCGTGAGCAGCCTTTTTTTTTGTACAAGTGCCCCGTTTTAACGTCATGTAAACATCTTAAGAATTATGCTGCTCTGAAGAGCACTACCTATTGTAAAAAAAATGACCGCATTGCAGGATGCCCCATACTAGAAAGATGGTGTCTAAGTTTTTCCTAACAAAATTGCAAATGTTTCTCAGTCCCAAATTCATGTTTTATCATCATTTTTGCAATAAATGACCTTCATTGAGATGATTATAAAGAAAAACGTGGCATCAGGTTGCAACATTTTTTTCCTTTGATATTTTGAGGGAAACTTGGGGAAAAAATGACAATGACAGCGCGGCGACAACACGCAACCCGAAAATAAAAGATGGTGAAACACCGCGCGATGTACCATGACATGAGCACACACGGTGCGCTGAACAGCTGAATCGCAAGGCACAAACTGCACAGGAAAATCGTGATTTCTACCCCAAGAAACTGTTCAAAATTGCAAAGCGGGTGTCATTAGAATTGAGAAAAGGCTGCTTTTGATTGTGTAAAGGTGATTTTTGAGCAATAAAAAATATTTTTGACTCTAATTTGATCAAAACAAAACAGGGGCCCTACACTACACTACACGATCGCCCCCCTACTCCACAATCCGCGAAATTCTGCCCAGTTTTCGGACACCATAACAATTTTTCATTTTTAGAATGTTTTAGTTAGATTAATGATTGTAGGGCCTACTCACTTATGAAATGAAACACCACCTCCCTTCTCTCGCCGGTTCGTGCAGCCAAAGGCTGCACAACTTTCTGGCATTTTTCTGGGAAAGCCGAGCGATAGTTGAGCGACGTGCAGGACGAACCGTAGATTCACGTACGTAGGCGCACGATCGATCGCGCGCTGAACAAACGTTTTTGCCCGGTTTGATAATGGCGGCGCGACGTCCTTGTCGGCACAGCGTACAGGCGAGTACGCCCTCTAGTTCTTTATTATACAGCTCTATGCCGCAAACATGCCTGCATATGTATTGCGCTGCACGCATAATAACGGTGCAAGAACGTGATCATCAAGTCGTTAGATATGTCGCAACTGCAACATGTATTGAACCCACAGACGGACATAATAACCAGCCGTGCCGATGGAGTTCGACTGAAGTTCAGGGACAAAATACGACTATCTAACGACTTGTCATCAAGTCTAACTCTAGAGCAAAAGTGGTTTTGCAAAATGTGAAGGATTATGATGTGCGCCAGACTAGCAGGGTTAATTCAACATCTACCCCATTCACAGTTGGAGTACACAGAATCTGTTTCTTTGTGACTGCTTAACAGTTTGCTGAAATGTTGCGCTAACTAGAGCAGACAATTATGTGCTTAGCTGTAACATGAAATTGAGCCATACACAGTGAAGGGATATGGAAAGTTAGAAAGGATCCTTGTAGAAAATGCCTAAGCACTTAGCATGAAGAAGAACTCGTTGATCCAAAGTTGGACAGCTTACCCATTTCGCCCGTTTCCACAAAGAGCGCATGGAGGGGGATCGGGCTACTGAAGTACAAGACGTCAATGTTGTTCTTGACAGCCACCTGCAAGGAGTTGATGGGGTCCATACGCTGGACGGGCCCGTTGGTGTTGAGAGGCAGGGACACGTCCAGGGTCTGGTTCATGTTGAGGGGACTGGCGATGGATAGCGGTGAGGCCGGTACCAGACCGAAACTGTCAGGAGAAGATATTGCAAAAAATAAGAACAGACTATCACAGATATTTTCCATCCCACACTAAACCAGCAGTGACCAAAATCAACACCTTCAAATTACTTTCATGTCCAATGGTTATGGTCTTCGGCTTGCGTGTCGTGGTACATGGGTTCGAACCCTGACAGGGAACATAGTGCTTGTGCTCTTGGGCAAGGCACTTTACTACGATTGCCTCTCTCCACCCAGGAGTATAAATGGGTACCTGTGAAGGTAGAGACCATATTGCGCGGATCTTGAGCTGCTGCAGGGTCTCATTCCTGATGAACAGGGATAATAATTGGGATGCGCATTTTATCATATTCTCATACAATTTGCGCAAAAAAAAAGAAAAAAGGTTAACCCTCAGTAACCCATCAGTCACAGGCAGTCCAAAAATTACTACATTTATCCCTCCCATAACTTATACGCTGGCTAGTCACGAACAGTCGGATCACATATATCCTCTAGGCACTCTGACTAGTTAAATTTCCTCAACAGTCAAAAGCAAGTAACTGGTACACGTACAGCTGGCTTAATCTCCTACAGTCAAAGCCTAGCTTAATCAAGTTACATGAACAGCCAGTTAATCCTGCTTCATGAAGGCAGGGAGCGCTTAACTGTTACAAACGGTCACTCAATTTATTTTCCCTGCTGGGAAGGCTTTGTTGTTGAAAAAAATCTCATGTTACTCACACTGTGAAAACTCTTTCAACCCATTTTTGCCCCGATGATTCCCTTGAGTGTTTCTCTTCATTTTGCCACGTATAAACCTAACCCCAAAATGCCTCTAAACCTGTTTTCCAGAGAGGGGAAAACCTTGTGTGGACGTGGGCGAGTCCACACAACGTATCTAAAATCTGGTTTATGTGGAAACCTTTTTTTTAGGAAGTCCACACAGTGAATGTGATGCTTGTCCACAATTTCAGCCCTGGAAAAAGACTGATTTTGACTGACCTGTTCTTGTTGAGCTGTATAGCAAACTGACTCATCTGCTGCATGGCTTTATTAGTGAAGGTCATATCCATGAAGACTTGGCCCTGCCGACGGCCGAAGGTGCCACTGACCTCAAGGCCTTTGCCCTTAGCTGCTGGCAGCCACACCTGATGACAGAGACAGTATAAAGGAAAGGTTATGGTTTAGTGATGGTCATACCCATGAAGACTTGGCCCTGCAGACGGGCGAAGGTGCCGCTGATCTCCAAGACCTTGCCCTTAGCTGCTGGCAGCCACACCTGATGACAGAGACAGTATAAAGGAAAGGTAACGGTTTAGTGATGGTCGTTTCCATGAAGACTTGGCCCTGCAGACGGGCGAAGGTGCTGCTGATCTCCAGGCCCTTGCCCTTAGCTGCTGGCAGCCACACCTGATGACAGAGACAGTATAAAGGAAAGGTTACGGTTTAGTGATGGTCGTTTCCATGAAGACTTGGCCCTGCAGACGGGCGAAGGTGCTGCTGATCTCCAGGCCCTTGCCCTTAGCTGCTGGCAGCCACACCTGATGACAGAGACAGTATAAAGGAAAGGTAACGGTTTAGTGATGGTCATACCCATGAAGACTTGGCCCTGCAGACGGGCGAAGGTGCCGCTGATCTCCAGGCCCTTGCCCTTAGCTGCTGGCAGCCACACCTGATGCAAGGGATAGTATAAAGGAAAGGTAACGGTTTAGTAATGGTCACATCCATGAAGACTTGGCCCTGCAGACGGGCGAAGGTGCTGCTGATCTCCAGGCCCTTGCCCTTAGCTGCTGGCAGCCACATCTGATGCAAGGGATAGTATAAAGGAAAGGTTACAGATTAGTGATGGTCATATCCATGTAGACTTGGCACTGCTGATGGGCGAAGGTGCCGCTGATCTCCAGGCCTTTGCCCTTAGCTGCTGGCAGCCACACTTGATGCCAGGGACAGTATAAAGGAAAGGTAACGGCTTAGTAATGGTCACATCCATGAAGACTTGGCCCTGCCGATGGGCGAAGGTGCTGCTGATCTCCAGGCCTTTGCCCTTAGCTGCCGGCAGCCACACCTAAACCGTAACCTTTCCTTTATACTGTCCCTGGTATCAGGTGTGGCTGCTAGCAGCTAAGGGCAAAGGCCTGGAGATCAGCGGCACCTTCGCCTGTCGGCAGGGCCAAGTCTTCATGGATATTGAACCATGGCCCCGTGGCATGTTTTGACAAGATGGTGTCCGCATACAATTCCCCTTGCACTCTTACAGGTCATTGACCCTACAAGCAAAATTTGCAAATATTGGAAGTGTTTTTGAGGGTGCAGTAAAGCAAGGGTTAAAATTCACAAAAGTTTGTTATAGCCACATGTTCTGTATGGCGGTGTTCACTGTAGCAACGCTCTACTGTACACACAAAATCTAACTTTTGGTTATGTTGAATCTGTTACTGTGCTGGACTAATGCCAAAGTCATGTATAACCCGTATAAACGGTATCAGGCGAAATCTAATACATGTGCTCGCAGGATGTTGAATAAGTGAGTACCACTATACACACGGATGAGATTGTCAACTGAAAAATAAAAAGTCTGAAAATTTACGAAATGTCTGAAAAATGCATATCTTTCTACACTAATGTCTTTCTCTCAGATTTGAAAAAAGTCTCATTTCAGACAAAATTCTGAAAAATATCATGCCTGTATACATGTAGAGACTGTGAAGTAGTACTGCAGCATTGGTGCATTCCAAAAGATTTGGTCAGACACGGAATTTTGCTCAAGAATTAGGTGAAATTAAACTGTGTAGGAAAAGTTTTGCTGTAAGGCCAGGTTCAGATTATCTGGCTATGGTTAGAATACAGCTCAAACACAACCTGGCAATTACAGACGCAGCTATGGAAGCGGCTTAATCCAATTCACATAGACTCATGCATTACTGCTAGCCATAACACTGGCTTATACTAATTTTCTGGAAAGCGTCTTAATAGTAACCTCAGCTTCTTTGTTTCTTGACAGAAAAATAACTCCTAAAGAATAAGAACGTGGCTTTGGTAATGAAAGCAAGTAATGCCGTGTTCAGCAATCCAACTCACCGTTTTGGGCTCCACGTACATGCCAGTGGCCAGGCCGGGGCCGGAGGCTAGGCTGAAGATATCCCCTAGAGCACCCATGTTACCCCCTCCCATCATGGGCTGGGGTGCAGGCTGGGACATACCCCCTCCTCCAATCTGTGGGAAAGATGGGCCATTTTTCATTGTTAAACTAGACCAAGGGATACAAGGCGGGGTGTTGAACTACTCCAAAGTGTCTATAATAAATTTGACTGAAGTGCCCACAATATGGACAAAGTGTGCAATGGCCTGTTACTTCAAGTGAATTCAAAAAAAATATACCATGCACTATTTGCCGATGTTTAGGACTGAAGAATGCACATGCATAACAGAAAATTGTTTTGATGTATCCTCATGTACATGTAGAGGCAATGTTTTTAAATTCAAAGATTGAAGGCTATTATGTACATGTGTACTGAGTACATACAAGTACATCGTTTATAACTCGAGTTGTAGCCAAATCATCATAACCATTACAATATGGCAAAAGGACTGTCACGCTCATCATTGTTCGCGTTACCTGTGCAGTGCATTGTAATTTGACTTGTGATTTCAATTATTTGACTTGTGATTGATTTGTGATTGACTTGTGATAGACTTGTGATTGATTTGTGAAAGACTTGTGATTGACTTGTGATTGACTTGTGATTCGACTTGTGATTCGACTTGTGATTGAACTTGTGGTTGTTTTGTGATTGGACTTGTGATTGGACTTGTGATTGACTTGTGATTGACTTGTGATTGACTTGTGATTGGACTTGTGATTCGACTTGTGATTCGACTTGTGATTGAACTTGTGATTGACTTGTGATTGGACTTGTGATTGGACTTGTGACTGACTTGTGATTGACTTGTGATAGACTTGTGATTGACTTGTGATTGGACTTGTGATTGGACTTGTGATTGACTTGTGATTGACTTGTGATTGACTTGTGATAGACTTGTGATTGACTTGTGATTGGACTTGTGATTGAACTTGTGGTTGTTTTGTGATTGGACTTGTGATTGGACTTGTGATTGACTTTTGATTGACTTGTGATTGAACTTATGATTGATTTGTGATTGGACTTGTGATTGATTTGTGATTGGCTTGTGATTCGACATGTGATTGGAATTGTGATTGGAATTGTGATTGGACTTGTGATTGATGTGTGATTGGACTTGTGATTGGCTTGTGATTCGACTTGGGATTCGACTTGTGATTGGAATTGTGATTGGACTTGTGATTCTGCTTGTGATTGACTTGCAATCAATTGTGATTAACATGATAGCAACTCTGTACATGACCACTACCAAAACCCTTACAAAACCCGAAGCCTCCCAGCTACTTACCAAGCTATCCAAACCACCTCCCAGTAGGTCCAGTCCAGCTGACATCTCAGGCTGTGCCTGCATTGGGGCACCGCCAAACCCAGCGGGGGAAGCGCCAAAGCCAGCGGGGGAAGCGCCAAAGCCAGCAGGGGCAGCACCAAACCCAGCAGGGGCAGCACCAAACCCAGCAGGGGCACCTCCGAACGCACTGGGTGCGCTGGCCGGTGGGCCCAGGTCCATCCCCAGCAAGTCGCCGATGAGATCGCTTTGGCCCTGGCTGGCCTGGGGTATGACCTGGGGAGCTTGGGGAACAACGGCGGCGGCCGTCTCGCTCTCTGGGGAAGTAGATCCGGAGCTGTTCATGGGGAGAACAACAAATATTTTTAAAAATGTAATGAGCTCAAGCAAATCTGTTGTATTTCTTTGGAAGGAGAAGGGGGAATTACAAGGTCAGCATATTAATTTAAGTTAAGTTATTAATAAAAGAAATGTGTTGTATGTGAATAAGGCGTTTGCCCTATAGTCACTGTACTGGCTTAAACCGCCCTGCCTATTTTGCATTTTTGTGACAAGGAGGGTGTAGTTATGAAAACACTCCATGTGATTTATTTGGCTTACCCTGGAGCCCGGGTAGGCAACACCCTCCTAGTAGCATTCCGTCCCTCCACGAATGCACTGGGCGGCTTGTGATAGACCGAGGCCAGGCTGCCGATGTAGCAGATCAGCTCATCCAGTAAGGTCGGCTCAATTAGGTCCGTCTCCTCTGAGATGAGGGGCTTGTTGGCCAGGACGACGTCCTTGGCTGCGGCGGGGTCCGTGGAGAGCAGACGCCAGTAGATGTAGCCGCGATCACGCAGGTCGGGGTTGTCACTGTCCTGTGTTTCAAAAATGAGAAATGCAAAAGTATGTCTATTGCCCATATCTTTTTATTCTTTTATTTTAACTTGCTTGACTCACATATGTGATGCGATCAAGCTAAATGAGTCGTTTGTCTGGAATTTCGATTTGGAGATTCAGGCCAAAATAGGGGCACTTCATCACATCACTTCATCACATCTCTTGGTGTTCCACCTTCCATAATTTTTGAACTAAAGATGGTATCAGCATGAGGTTTTCACAGCAGTAATGCTGAGATTGTGCTCTTTTCAAATCTGTAAAAAAAAACCCAACATTGACCAGGGTCGACAAACGACTCATTTAGCTTGATCGCATCACATAATTATAGATAAAATATCTAAGGAAGTGTACATGTATGCATGCAATTTTTTTTTTTCACACAGATAAATGAATCCTAACCCCCTAGGCCCTTCTGGCTAGGAACTATCCTCAATCCTACAAAATCCTACAATTGCCACAATGTAAAAACTTTGGATTCAGCCTCAATCCTCCAAAATCATCCATTATTTCTTGAATTTGTTCAGTGGAGGGAGACCATTTGCTGAACCCTTCAAAAGTCCTCCAACAATCACTGTTAATAGGTTGAGGTAGTTATGCATGACTGAACATAAACATAGCTGGGTACAGCCTACAAACTCAACACAATGCATCATGTTTGCCTTCAGCTTCAATCCCTTGGAGGATTGAGGAGATAAATTCCTTCCATCATACACACGATCACACTTACGAAGCCAGGATATACACCTATTAAACCAGTTCCTTAACCCTTTAGTCAATGTGGTGCCCAAAACCGCCCTGTCTTTTCAATCATTGTAGCGCTTTAAACCGCCCAAACACTCAATGGTATTCTGCTTCTTCAGTGAATAAACACAATGTAATACAATGTAGTACAGATGCTAATGGTTAAAGATATAGTCCATCATTTGTAATTTGTGCATTTTGTTCGTTTGAAGCAACAAAAGTGTTCAAAATCTAAAGAAGGGTACTGAACAACTAACCTGATGAAGTTTCAGCTCAGCTTCAGCTGTATATTCCGAGAAAAACAGCATTCTAGGATCTCAATTTCAAATCAAAAGTTGCTGAATCATGTTTTGAATTGCTTGAATTCAGCGTCCGAGACGCATTCTCACTGAGCCGATTGCAGCTATACGCAATGCCGCGCACTGATCCGACGAATAACAAAACGAACTACTAATTTAAATTTTCCTACGGTGCGTCTTAAGACGCACCATTGGAAAGGCCTTCTTTCGTTGATTACTTCAAAATGACAGCTCGCCAGAAAGAATAATTTCACAGGGAGTTTAGTCCCCTTACTATCTTTCAACCAAGTATGTTTTTCAACAATAATTATGCCAGTTACTTTTCGGATGGCTGCAAATGATGGGACTATAGCTTTAAACCTCCAAAATCCTCCAGGAGAGGGGAGGTTTGGGGCTTGTAATCGTCAGACTCACCTGTGTAGCCAGGCTGAGCACCTGCTGTACCAGTTCTTGAGTGTCCGTGGGTCGTTTCAAGAACAGCTTGACGATGGCCGTCAGCAGCTGTAGCTGCACCTGGGTGTTCTCATCATGGAAGCCTTCCAGGAAGCTCTCCAAGAGCTCGTCGGCGTTATCGATACGCTCGGCGTACTCACCGATGATCCAGATCATGGAGGCCCTGGGGAAAATGGAGTTGGGGTTAAAGGTCAATACTAGTGTTTTCTGTGAGAATTTCTGACATGAAGGTCAGAGAGTTTGTAACGGTATAACCAAAAGCAATCACAGATTTAACAATGATGGCACTTTGAACAGAATTATTAATGTGGAGTAGGTGTACCCTCACTGTGCCAAAGACCAACCGCATTTCTTTTTAAAGTTTGTATATCATTTTGTTTTCCTCTAATTATCTTTGACTTATCAAGATATCTAAATCTTGAGCAATACAAAAAACTCCTCAATGTGGTGTCACAAATCTTAAGTGAAAAGAAGAGAACATTGACTTGAGTATGCTTTTTAACTAACACATTATTTTACATGTTAAAAAATGTACTAATTACAAATGCTTGGATGAGTTTTAGAGATGTTAAAAAATTTCAGAAGTTAATTAACCTAAGATTGCCCAAATTTAGTTGAATCAAATAAATAGCAATGTCAGTTGCATTTGAAAGCTTTCGGCTGTGGACAAACATATTCTCGGTGTAACTGCTAGATTCATTTAACTCCAGCAGACTTTACCCATTACACTTTTTGTATTTAGTTGAATTACCATGGTACTGAAAAACCTGGAGGTTAAGAGATTGAGAGCAACATACAAGCATCCTCCGTGTTACCCTGCCTTAAGCCCGGTTCATACTCTGCGCCAAAGCGCTGCGAATTCGTAAAAATTGAACATATTTCAACTCGGGCGAATTTCGCAACGAATGTTTTATGACGTCAAATTCGCTTCGCATTCACATGAAGTTTGAACCAGGCTTTAGGGGCTACCAGGATTTAGGTTAATGCTTGTGTTTAAAATTTCCCTCACCTTGCCTCAGGCTCATCCAGCGTGTCCAGGTTCTCGCACAGCGTTGCAATGATACTCTCATACTTGTTGGGATACTTGCGGAAGATATCCTTGATGACCACGATGGCTTCCTGCACCACGTAGTTGACCTTGGTCTGGATCAGGTCCAGCAGGGTGCTGACGCAACGCTCAGCAGATTGCTGGAAAACAACATTTTACTAGGAAGTTAGTACCACGATTTCTTCAACCCTAACCCCCTGGGGTAATCTGGCGAGAAACCATGCCAAATACAGCAACATGCAACACTTGTCAAAATCACAAGCCAGCTCAGTGTAGCAAGAGCCATCAGGCCAACAATCTCATGGCCAAACTGCCTCAGAGCCTGTGGTTGCCAACTGCAGCAGGATACAACTGTGACATTGTTCAATGGAGCTAGCTCTCATTTTTTAGAATTGGCTGTTTATGCACTAGTGTTGATGGTTCCGAGCAGCAAGGTCCCACAGATTTTTACATCCGATGTACTGTGTTGCATCTGGCAGGGTCAGGGTTAAAGCAGCAAAAACGTAGCTCATTGTTATAGCTTTCTTTATTGATATTCTGAATAATACAAGAAACAAGATTGTCAAACTAGTCAGCTACTCTGTGTGTAGTTATTATTCATACCTCAATTTTGATGGCACAGCGGCCGATGGCTCGCACAGACTTGCGGACAAAGTCCACGTCCACCTCGGTGGCATACTCCTTGAGCTCAGCCAGGACCTGGGCAATGTTGCCCTGGGCAGCCAGACGGATCATGATGTCCAGCTTCTCCAACTTGACGTAGATGGGATCGTTGTACTTGACAAAGAAGACCTTCATCTCTTGCTTGAGAATCTCCGGTCTAGTTTGGGGACAGAGAGTGAATGAATGATGAGCAGTGTTTCTACGCATTATTCTAAAAGATCGCGTTACATCATCAGTGAGATTTGAGGCTTTGCCAGGTGGAGATTACAGCTTGGGATTAATCTGCAGATATACCATGTGAACTGACTACCCCTAAAAAGAGAAATAACTCTGAGAATCGAGCATGAAAGTTCGTTTCCTGTCCCATTATTATATCAATTAAATAAAAGATACTTTTATGAGACTTTGGTTGCAAAACTCGTATCAGGTGCTTGCGACACCATCACGGTGTCTTTATCAACTGAGAATAATTATGAGAATAATAGGTTATCATCTCAATCTTTCGGTCACTATGCTTAGGAGAACGCATCAAATGTGGATTGTTGAGCTGTGCAAGGATGCAGGAAGAAGCAAAGGAATTCTTATCCTCTATGTAAGAGCCAAAGAGCAGGAAGTTAGCAATTCAAATCCTGCCCAATTTACATGTACTTTGGCTTGGTTATTAAGTATTAAAATGCAGCTCGGGAAACATTGGACAAATACAAAATGCGACAGAGTGAAAAACAACCCAGCCTATTACTTCGTCTCGGTCCATTAATAAATACCTTTATAACGAAATAAACAGTTAAAATGCTCCAATTTTGTGCCTTTTTTTTCCGGCGATATTTCCAGACTTTTTTGTGTTCATGTTCATGGGCCATATTTTAGCTTAACAGCTATAACGACGTAAACTCAACCGAAACTGCTGCCGTAGCGAAACAAATTACAACAATGTTTTCATATCTTTACCTGATGGAGGAAGCTGAAATCTCGTTTACACATTCCTTGTGTCCGGAATTACAAAGATGCTTGGTTTAGGAAAGGTAAATATGTCGGTGGGTGAAGTGTTTCAAAGAAAATAAATCGTAGATCTACGCTATCGTCGTAAACATCCTCAGTATAAACTGCACTACTGTACGATGTCGTTTCAAAACTTCCTTACGCGCGCGCACGCACGCATCCCTAGCAACTGTGTTGCGTACGCGCGCGTCAGTCTCACGCGATGGGGGTTGAGCGCATGTGCAGTGCTCAATTGTTAAAAGCTGACGCAGGACTGTTACTATATTTTGACCAATCATTGGCTTGCATGGGGCTGAACAGGGCTTGATCAATGCTGGTTCAGGGGCCATTTATTTGCTTGATCTTTGAAGCCGGTCCATTATCACCGTTAATGACCGGCCACATGATCGAGTCTCTACCAATCAGAAATCATCAACTCTCCAAGGTATTTATTAATGTGTTTTAATACCTCTTTTGCACGATGAGGTTGATGTTCCTGAGTGCCACATACTGCACCTCAGGCTCGGCAGACAGCAAGGTGACCAGGGGGGGAGCCAGCTTCCTAGTCAAGGTGGTCAGGTACTCTGAATCCACTGGCATCATCTCCATGAACTTCATCAGCACCTGGGACATCACAAGTGATAAGATGGGATGAAGAGATATTCATGAGTCTTGACACTTGGCTGCTACACACTTGCACGATAGCAAGGTTGTAGCTGCATTTGCACAGGATATTGTGTTCGTAATGACCATTATGTTGTTTAAGAAACAGCTTGTTGAAGGGAGAAAGGATGGACATAAATTACGGGAGAATGCAAAATTAAACGGGCGGCATGTAATACTTAAGGGTCACTCTTAACCCTAACTCTCTAGGGTGATTTACTAGGAACCTTCCTCATCCTTGCAAATCCCAACATCACATGGTAAACTGTGCACATAAACAGTTTATTTGTGGTTTGCCTAATCCCACCTAAAGCACATACAGTTAGTTTACTAGTGCAGCACTCATCCTAACAGATTCCAACAAACCCTGGTGTCGGAGTTTGGCTGGTTAGGGATTGTTAGGGTTAAGGTTTTCCAGGGTTTTACACGGTTTTCCAGGGGTACCTCAGGGCTCAACCTTGAGTTATCGCTTGTTTGATTAATTTTCCCCCTTACTTTATTGGCCTACAATTCGGGCGATTCACAATGCAGTGCGCCACCAAGAGTTTGCCATGGAGAGTATATTTTCCAAATTTACGGTCTACACAACATGAACAATTTGAATGAGTGTCAGTAGACAACTTGAACTAATTTGTTATAGATTAGGGCATAGTGTCCTGTCACCTTACAAAAAAACCCATACTGATAAAAAGAAAACAAAAGGGCCAACAGATACTCGAATCACACGCTTACGAAACTACTGACTGGAAAAAAACTAACAATTTCAAGTGTCCCGTGCTGTGAATTTTTTGACCATTTCCCACAATGCACTGGGAAAAATTAACACTCCGTGGTAAACTCTTGGTGGCGCACTGCATTGTGAATTGCCCGAATTCTATAACATTGAAATATCTGTGACTCTGACCGACCTTGACAGCTGAGAGCACCACGGCAGCGTTGGCGTGGGCCAGCCTAGGGGTGACTCTCTCACAGATGCTCTGGGCCTCTCTGTCATCCTTAGGGGTGTAGTTGGACAAGGAGTCCAGGATGAAGATCTGACCCCACCTGCAAAAATAGGTCACAACATTGGATGGGATTGGAAGTGAGGAATTACCACAGAGCTATTTTAAATTACTACAGTGGTAACTCCTCATTCTGATGTGCGGAGATACTTTGAAGCCATCCTGGGCGCAAACATTTTGAATTCGTGTGCGTGTTTGTAGAACGTAATAAATTTAGATGGAGTAAATAGTGAAAGTGTACTCTTACTGCAACGCACAAGTACAACATACGCAAAGAACTTGAGCACGTCATGACGGTTAAAAAACGTTCATTCATGGGTTTGTGCACAAACATAGATGCGCCCAGCAGGCATCAATTTGTACATCAACTCAGTAATTTAATATAGCTCTATGGGAATTACCAAAATATCTCCAACAGATGGGAAAATCTAAATAACTATGATAAACACTGGATTAAAATGAATTAGATTGGCGGTGGAGAATGAAACAAATAATATCCAACAGAGGAAATGAGCAGATATTTCCAATGCATATAAGTTAAACTACAATACCGTTCACTTCATTCGAACGGGACCTAAGGACCAAATGTGTAAACACATGATTTCGATATAGGTAGTGGTAGACATATTAATTGGATTGTTCATTTCAAATGGAATGTCACTTAAGAAGAGGAGTTAAGTGTGTCCTAAACGTACGTTAAAAGGTCACAATTTAAATTAATTTAACACTTGATATTTAAGTTTAAAGAGAGACTTTATTAGTTACAGCTTGTTATTTTTTATGTTTTATTTATTTAAAAAAAAAAATTTCAGGGAAATATGCAACACTGTTCAGCAGGAAATGATTAATCCAGACATTTCAAGTTTATATCCACAGTACAACACATGATGATAGATGAAAGTGAAACAGTCTTAATTAAAATGGAATTAGATTTCTAAAACCAAACGCCGTTTCCTCATTTCATGTAAGGCATCTTTCTATTCTAGAAACTGTAATCGACAGTGACACACAGACTTACTCTGTACACTCATTCAGTGCAGTCAGCAGCTTGTTAATGGTCTGGGCATTCAGGTCAAACAGAGTGGTGCCAGACGGTGAGGCATCGTTGATCTCAGACAGAGCTGCTACGGCATTAGCTACAACCTGCCAAGAAATGCAATTAAAGAGATTTCTTAATTAATGATTAATTGAAACCATGCATTGCTGATGTGCTCAGGCATGCAACTGGGAATTTAGGGGGAAAATGGATTTTTCCCAATTCCAAAGCACACAAGACTTTGTACAGTGCTTTTCAATTTGTAATCGCATTCATGAGAAGTAAAAAACGAGGAAATCAGCGGATCCGAGGAAAAGTTGCCTCAGTCCTACTCCAAATTTGAAATTTATCATATTTCTCCAAAATTTTATAGTGACGAGTACAATTTAAACCTATTACAAAAAACTTCTAAAACCCGACAATCAAATGGTGCTGAAAAGAATAAAACAGGTCTTACATCATGTTCGGATTTTTTTCTAGTATCAGTACCATTATCTTTCTCGAGATTACAGATTATCTTTCTCCATATTACAGATTATCTTTCTCCAGCTTACAGATTATCTTTCTCCAGATTACACATTATCTTTCTCCAGATTTCACATTTGAGAAAGCCTTTTCTACAGTGTGAATCAACTCCATACTGTCCTTCACAGAGTAGAAGATCTAAAAGCGAGGTGAGTCACGTTGGCACAGCCGTACTGTCCTTGCCTTCCATAACCAGGATTGGGTTTCGAGTCCCTACTAGGTTTTCCAGAGATTATTTACATAGGCTTTTCTTCCCATCTCTAGACATGAACATTTTCTTCATTGTCACGACTGTTATTCTCTTCGCAGATTTCTTCAACCTTGCAAGCACTCATGAAACATACCCATGGCCTTTCCACACTATACAAAACTTTTGGTTGACGCAGGATTGACGCACGGTTAAAAACAAGCGGCGTTTCACACCTCTGCCAAACCTGCGTCAACCCTGGGACTGATTTCACGCTAGGTTGAACTCAACCCTGATCCAGACCAGGTTTGAGATTTCAAGCAGGGATGAGATTTCAACCCAGGTTTAAACTTTCGCCATGGTTCAAAACAGTAGTAACCGAACAAAAGAAGGGTTGCACAAAACAAGTGTGAAATGATGCGGGGCTGAATGCAGGGCTGAATGCGGGGCTGACAAATCAATAACTCAGCCCGGGCCAGCACTGGGTTCACCCAGGGTTGAGTTCAACCCGGGTTGAGAGTCTCGAGTGTGAAAAGGGATCTAGTCTGATCTTCAGAAAATACATTTTAACATTTCTACGACAAATACTACCACCCACCATTGGGTTAGAAGCCGTCAGTAGGTCCCTGAGCTGATCAATAAACCCTTGGTCCTCCACCAGCTGGGGGTTGATATCGTACAGCTTGGCCACGCAGACCGCCGCCGTCTTCTGCACGTAGGGGTCCTCGTCCTTCAGGCACTTGCGCAGCGGGTCGCACAGGTAGGCTGTGATCTTGTCCACCCGGATGCAGCCCATGGTGCGCACGGCCAGGGCTCGGATCAGTGGGTTGGTGTCCTCGCAGTCCTAGAGAGAGAATATGATGGGAGTAAAGACAAGTCGGTAGGAAAAACCTTGTAAAATTCCTATATTGTACATTTCCAATAGGTAAATGACATATCTGTAACAATTTGCCCATTTCTCAAAAACTGTAAAAATTTACGGGAACATTCCATAATTGAGACGATTTCTTAGAGTGCAAAACTTCACTTTGAAACTAGAAATAAATCTAACAGTTGGACTCAACAAACACATACTTTTGGTTGCATTAGCATCGAACCACAATTAAAACTAAGTTATAATAGTTAATATATTCATAATGTGTTCATGAAAACCAACACAAAATCAGAGCATAGTTTTAAGAGAGAATGGTCAACACATCTTCAAAGTTATGTAGAATTTGAAAAATGTGATTAATAATGTATCTGACTGCAGTAGGTCTTGAAGCCGGACGTTAAGCTGTATTAACCCTAACAGAACTCAACCCATCAAACCCCAACGGCATGTTTTGTTGGAATCAGTCAGGATGGGTACAGTAACTGGCAGTCTTTTACATTGGGTTGGCACACCTCCAGAATGAAAGTCAGAAATATGTGTGTGCAGTTTCCCATATGGTGTTGGAATTTGCCAGGACGGGAATATTCCTAGTAAATCATGCTAGGGAGTTAGGGTTAAGCTGGAGTTTTGTCCACTCACATTATGGATAGACAAAACAGTCAAGATATGGCAAAACCCTGTGGACACCTCCCCCCAACAAAAAATATATAAAACCACTTAATAAGGGAATGGACTTAACTTACCTTGACAAACGTATTGACAGCCATGATAGCCATATCTGGTTGGCTCTTGGCATAGTTCATCAGGTACAGGTACACAAGCTTCTTGAGTTCTAGATTGTCCGTCTGCATGCAGTTCACAACGTCAGGAAAGAGCGAGCTGTAAAGGGATGGCAAAATGTTGAAATTGAATAAAACCAAGTGTTTAACCTATGAATTTGTCCAAGATAAATGAAATCCACAAAGAGATTGAGGAGGATTTTGCAGGACTGAGGTAGGTCCGATCCAATCCCTATTATTTACCTGGGCTTGCCGCACACAAGGCAATTTAAATTCAAGGCACCTAGATCCAGGCATTCGCCTAAAAGAAAATGATGGACAAATATAAATTTCATGTTTTATGTACGTTTTTGAGACATTTCTGAGAATGAATTGACTATGTTCATCCCGAAGGTCCCTGTAACGTACAGTGGATCCGGTAGCCTCAAACTTCACGCACAATCAAGCTTGTGGCAGGGGTTTCCCTTAACTTTTTCCTTTACTGGCCGGCCGGGCCAGTAAACCAGAGTTTTCACTGGCCCGCAACCTTTTTCACTAGCCCAAATGTTTTAATAGTAACTTTCAATCAAATCACCATAAGCATTTTTGATAACATTTTTGATAATAAATTATGCAATATGAACACAACAATCAGCAATTATCTTAATCATGTACATAATATTGCATGTAGTTCCTTTTTAAGTGATGTCAATCTTTCTTTAATCATCCATGCTTTAACATAGAGCAAGGCTTTAATTAACAGGAATCAAATAGGGGGAGAAGTTATAATCAAAGTTTATGCAGTGTGCTTCGTTCTGAACTTAAGGCTTTAGGTGTTCTATTTCCGACATGTTTTGATAAAACACGAACTAAAAAAGCGTTATCTTGAGGAACAAGAAAACATTGCACACAGTCGTGGTAGTAATGGGAGTTTACCAAGTTAGTAACTGAACTGTTTTAACTTGTTTGAAAATGAGTGAGAAGGCCAGTATTTTCAAAAAAACATCTCTCGCCCGCGCCATGCATTTCTAGCGAAGAATGGTGCAATCAGCGTGCCTAGCCAAGAAGCGCTGCGGGTGGGCGACCCACGAACTTACGCTGGTCACGTCAATCCATAACGTTTTCCCCATGGTTTTCCGGAGCACGGTCCACTTTATATTCACTAGTCTTTACATTCAAAATAGGCCCCTCGAATCTGATATTGTCCACATCTTTTCAGTACATTCGTTTGATAGTGTTCAAGAAATCATCCCAAGAATCCGTTCGGGCACAGGTTTTGGCAGTGAAACTGTCATGAAAGTTTTCTCCCCACCACGTTGTATGATACGAATGCAATGTATGATGTTAACGTACGTACGTCCGTACCGTACCGTGTGGACTGCAGACGAAGTAAATCACGTGCGCTGCATGTGTGCACAATGTGTAATGGCTAATACACGTTGATTCGCCTCATGTTTGTCATTGGGATTTCAATGCACAGCGCACTGCGAATATACATGTACATGGAGTGATACGATGTTTTTATTTCGGTCGGCGTGGCAAAAGTATTCATGTGTTGTATCACCCTAAACTTTTTATTTTGATTGATTGAAAAATACTGTAAGGAAAACTTCGTTATTTTTATTTTTTTAACAGTTTTTTGACTCGCCCGTCGGACTACTGAGAGGAGGGTTTTGACTCGCCCGCCGCTGTTTTCACTCGCATTTGGCGAGTGGGCGACCGCTAAGGAAAACCCCTGCTTGTGGTCTTCAGAAAGATTCCTAAATTAGGAATCGAGGGTAGAGATATATTTTTCCTGAAGCCTTGGTGCATCACATATGCAACAAACGCTTCAATTCTACCAGCAGATGCAAAGAATTCTGAACGATTGGTTGAGACATCTCACCTGACGTCTTTGCCCACGGTCATGCTGGCTATGACCTTCTTGACAGCTTCTTTCTTCTTCTCCTTCTTGTCGCTGTTGAGATCAGCCTTCAACTCGTAGATCTCACCCTTCTTGGTGGTGGTGAAGTATTTAGAGTCCGTCATCTTGACCTCTGATGTTTATTCCTCACCTAAAGGAGAAGAAAACATTGCATTTGTGGGTATTGTGCAATAAATATTTTTATATTCGTCAATCATTACTACGGCTAAATATTCATCATAATGGGCTGCTGTTCCATTTTTACAATCACCACATTTCAACTTTGCTCCTGACATTTCACGACCTTTTATTTAGGCTTACTTTGTGACATTGGGCCTCCCCTACACCCCCCCCCCCCCCCCGGAATAAACAAAACAGTCAATGTCATTTTAGCAATTTTCTACAAAAACATAAAGATGCTGTTCAAAATTTTTAAAGATAGGGTTATTAAAATTACAACTATAAAAAAGACTGCTTAGGGTTGCAAAAGTCACATTTTTAACCACTTCACGTCGGATGTGTGTAAGGATTCGGAACGGATACAGGATAAACACGCAATTAGCGAGGCCAGAAATATCTGTCTGTGACAGCTCGCAGCGAGCGAGGCCAGAAATATCAGGGTGTGCTACCCGCAGATGACAGCTTGAACCCGTCTGGCATCGAGGTTCGTGAAAAACAATCCCGCGCCTGGGTCCGGTCAATGTCAAATAATTTTGCCGCGGGCGCGGCCGTACCATGTACCACTGCATGTACAGTAGTACAAATATCCTGGTGTACGTGCGTCACATGTCACACAAGGAATGGTGCGCGTCAACCAGCTAAATATCTCGCCCATGGGACGTCGTTGCTAGGTAAAAGGGCGCCCTCTTTCGTTGGCGCACGGAGCCCATAACCATAATAATAGGAATCAGGCCTGTAGATACACAATCGCGGCATTTACAACTGCCCGTCCAACCAGAATGCTTCTGTAGCTCGATTACTTTTCGTTCAGATAGGCCCTACTGTGTGGTAGGTTCCAGGATCAACCCCGACGTCGTGCATTTAAAAAAAAAATTGGAAAAAATGTTGCAACCTGATCCTGATGCCACTTTTTTCTTCACAATCATCTCAACATGCTCAACATACGATAGCAGTTGAAATCGCGTTACGGCTGCCGTAACGATAGCCACTGCGGTATGGGTAAAAAGTGGGCGGATACCGCATTATACACAAAATACATGTACAGATCTAGATTTTTTGTAAGGTGGCTGTGAACATGATTTGGTCTTTGGTGTTAATATTCAACTCATTAGAAATTTTATTCGATAGTGAATTTATAATACTTATATCTGTGAAACTGTTTATTGCAATGAAATAAAATAATACTTACCAAAATATAGAAAATACTCCAGATGACAGACGATTTATCGGCCAAGTTTTCCAAGGACAACCGGCATAAAACAAGATGGCGCTGTCCAGAACGAAAACCTATAGACGCATTTTCACTGGTTCCGTATAGAATATTCTCATATCAAACCGCTCAAAACGCGGGATACCAGCGAGTTGAAAACATCGTCTGCATTTATCGTCGTGCCGCCGATGCCGCTGATGCCGCCGATACAGGGAGGTAAGTCATGTATTTATGTTTAAATTTATAATAAATCAACCAAATAACAAGGAAAGATGTTAAAGTATTATTTTTAGTGACTATTATGGATGAATGATTTTTTTGTCATTCGCTTTTTGTACAGATATAGTGGAAAGAAGCCTAACCCTAGGCATGGAGGAATAATTATTCCTCCATCATGTCCATGCCCTAGGCTACGGCATTCGCTTTCAGACGCCACTTGTGTACAAAGTATATGGAGCATAGGCCAGGCTGTAGTTAAATGGCATTTTAGCCCCTCCCCCCACCCAAAAAAACCCCCCAAAAAACCCCACTCCCCCCCCCCCCAAAAAAGCCCTCATTGCGAATCTATATTAGGCCTATACCTTCCAACCAGCGCTTTAGCTCGATTGGCTTTGTTGATGAACTATTAACTATTAACTAAGTCCTGGGATGTAGGCCTAATCCGCGTTTTCTGAAAAAAAAATTTGGCTTTTAATTTAATATTTTTTTCTGTAGGCATAGGCCTAAACACCAGTTACAGTTATAATTTTAATTTAATGTTGATAGTGGATATTTTGCCGGAGGTAATGACGGCAAACTAACGTTTACTAAAGGTTTGCCGGCGGCAATCCATATCAATAGAGGGCGCTGTACTCTTTAAGACAGGGGGCTGAATTATAAGATGTATTAAATTCCCACCAAAAGTTGTGTAGCACGTTTGGTGTAGTGGTTAAGCAAAAGCTCTTGTGAGCGGGATGACTCGGGTTCGATCCCGATCCCCGCCACATTTTAAAGTTTTTTTTCCCCATCCCCAAATAAATAAGAATATTCTTCTTTTATTATTTTAACATGTCTTAAACATTTTATTGCAGAGAATTACATTTTCTTTTTCAGATTTGTGGCTCTGGAGGATTTTTTTTAAAAGGGAAATAAAAGTCCGAAATTATAAAATGGTCTGAATCCCATCTTGTGAATACGAGGTTACAACGATAATATTGGCATGGAGCCAGACTAAAATTTGTCACCGGAAAATGTTTGAAGTACAAAAAAACAGTAATTCATAATTGCGCATGTTCAGTGCATATCCGGCAAACTAACGTTTACTAAAGGTTTGCCGTCTCCGGCAAAATATCCACTGCCTTTAATGTTTCGTAGTGGCTATCGTTTCGGCAGCCGAACGTGTTTTTCAACTGCTATTAAAAAAAGTATTATTACGGTACTGCACAATCACCACGCGAATCTATATCACCCTTATAACGATAGCAGTTGAAAATTGCGTTACGGCTGCCGTAATGATAGCCGCTGTATTAAAAAGTCCTCCATATATAGCCATGAATCAGAGAGAAAATTCGAATCTGGCTTTCGCAAGCTGTTTACACGAGTTCAAAACGTAGAGGGGTCCCTTTTTTGTTACTCTAAAGTTTGAGATCTATCAGCTTTGCTTGGAGGACTTTTTGTATGATTTCTTTCATTGTTTTTCCACATTAGCACTCACTGTGAAAATCGTCAGACAAAATGGCTGAGTTTGGTGCCCACCTGACCTCAGCCACAGCCAATGACAGGCCGTCGTTTTTTGAGGTGTTGGCTCAGGAAAGCTTGATGGCAACACTCAGACCGGCGATGAAATATATGATCAAGGTAGTTTGATAGCCTCCTTGTAATTGATTCATTGCCTGGTTTATTATCAATTCAACAGTGGGAAGAACGGCAATAGAAAGCATGCACAGAGCGCCCTCCCAGTGGACAGATACATTTTAAAATTGTCCACACATGCATATAGGTAAAGGTAAGGTAAAGGTCTCATAGCCATTACTGGCCGTAGGGGCAGTGGGATGTTAGAGGTCCACTGTGTCTTGGGCGTGGCATATGAGCGGCGGTGCCCAGTCCTCTCCTCTCGCCGTCTTACCTTCCCTGAACGAATCAGGTACCCATTTTACTGTTGGGTCGTCGGAGAGAGTTTTCCAGTTTTTGGTCCGAATGGGATGCGAACCGCCAACCTTCCACTCCGTAGCTCCACGCTCTAACCGCTCGGCTACGAGGCCCCATGCATATCACAGAGGAAAAATGTCCTACCCACATTGAGGGCGCTGTGTGCAAGCTCTCTATGCTGGAGCTTGGCTTTGATCGATTTTTCAAATACTGCTGGTCTGCGATTCCCAGCAGAAGTATGTATAAATGGTAAGACCAAGTTGAAAAATTAACAATTCTCGTCCCAGCCAGCTTCCTTTTTTCCCCGACTGTCTCTTTTTAAAAATTTGGTTTTTTTAATTCACACATTTGCAACATCTTTTGCAATATTATTTTGTCAATGTGTTGTCTTTTTATTTGTTTCCAACAAAATTATAGCGATGTAGAAAGGGTTATTGCTCCTTTGGAGTTTGGAAACAATTTTACATGTATATCAGCAAAATAGTTTAGAAAATGGAAGAATCAATCCGCTATATCTGGGAAAATCCGAAATCTTGGGGGGGGGGGGGAGAAGAAGGAAAAAAGTGCCTGCCTCCTTCAATTTTCTTTTAAAAAGGCCGGACAGAACCTTCTTATTTTTATCACTTGCCCTAATACAATGTACATGTGTCTAGAATGGGTTATTATTTCACTTGATAGTTTAAAAATCAAGTCATAACTTTTGTGCACATTTATTTGTTGGTGTTTCAATTGGGGATTTAGAAATTTAAGCCACATAAGTGCCTGGTTCCCCCTTTACTTTACTCTGTACATGTGTATCTTTCCCCAGATACTAGCTGAACACAATCCAGTCCGCTTTGGCATCCTGTACCGATATTCCGATGAGATCTACACATCGTTAGATCTCCTGCTGCAGCATCACTTCTTGAGCACCACAAGTATGCATCGTTTCTTTAAATTGTCCAAATGGAGAGTTTGATTGAGAATATATGGATAAAGCAACAGCCAAAAGCGATAAAGTTAATGCACAGTGCATATATATATTTGTGTGGTTTCAAACAACTTAAATTGTATTCTTCTCGGATTCATCTAAATCACTTGGCAGTTTTGGAGGAATTTTGCATGGTTTGGGAAGGAAAACGCCAGTCACTATTATTACGTCAATATATTACGTATTGTTATTATTACTAATAACAATAATGTGTGGTGCTTATATGGCGCTATCCACCATAGGGAAGTCTCAAAGTGCTACACAATAATTACCGCTGTTCATCAGGCCATGAGACCACATTGCTGCAGCCGACATCAGCGCAATCTGGTCTCTACTCTCACCGGTACCCATTAAAACTCCTGGGTGGAGAGAGGCAATTGTAGTAAAGTGTCTTGCCCAAGGACACAAGCACCATGCTCCCTGTCAGGATTTGAACCCACGTACCACATGTGGGACATGGGTTGAACACTGTAACCATTGGACAACGTCACTCTGCAAAGTTTAAGATTGAAGGATATGTCATTGATTTCCTGCACTTTGGTGATTTTTTGCAAGATTCGTGAAAACGGTGAAAACTTCCAGCAAATAAATCTACATATGACATATATTTTGCAGAAAAGGCTTTAAAAAAATGATAATATGTACATTTCTTGTACAACTTTATTATTTGGATCTAAGTCTCATGCCTATGTTTAAGTTGCACAACTGCTGTTTACTTTATGTGTTTGATGCAGGTGCGTCTTTTGCTGAGAATTTCTACAGTCTCAAGCGAGTCCCTACAGTCCCTGCTACTCATCCTCACAGCACCACCCAGGGTCTTCAGGCATGGCAGCATCTTAGATCACTGCTATTCCTGGTAAGCATTACCCTGAGGCAAATCTCCCTTCACTCCACCCCATTCAGTTTAACTAATTTTACAAAGAAATATAAAATGAGGCTACATTTTCAGAAACAAAATATGCATTTGTCATCTCCCCCCCCCCATCCCTTGAGCTCCAAACTGAATAGTCTGCTGCTCAAGAAAGACAACATGAACCATTAAAGGAAAACAGGATATGTTAAAAAGGGCCTTAAAAGGGGGTAAAAACTTGAAAAAGGTACTGCACCCGCTTTCATCAAACTCTTCGTAACTTACGATGCATCGCAGCGATGCGACGCGTCGTATCTCTACGATGCGTCGCAGCTGCGACGCGCCCTGCGATCCATTTCACGAAACACGTTGTAAGTGCGACGCGTCATAGGTGTATTTATAGCACAACTCGATGACTGTTTTATGTATTTAGTCAGCGTACAATAAATAGTCGTCTGATATTCAACAAACAGTCGTCGGATCTCAGCTCGAAATTTGTTAAAACGAAAAACAAAATGGCGGCCGTGCGATGCAATTTTGAAGGAAAACAAGCTCTCATTGGACTGTATAGCTACTTTGAAATTTCAACTCTAATATTCCGGTCTAATTCATAATTATTCAATGAATTTCCTATTTACAACTTTACACACATTGCCTCGGTATTATAATCTCGTTAATGTAATGTTTATGGCATAAAACTGGCTTAGAAATTACTCTGCTTTTTTTGCGACGACCACTAGACACGTCGTAACTTGCAACGTGTTTTAAGCCGTTGTCAAGGAGCTTATGACGCGTTCAACACATCGCAACTTTCGTGAAATGGATGATACGACGCGTCGCGAGTTGCGACGTGTTACACGTCGTAACTCAAGTTGTGACGCGTCGCAGCGCTTCGTGAAATCGGGTGCTGGAATCTATAACGAAAAATAGGCAAATTTAAGTTGAAAGCGCAAGGATAAGTATAGAGAGGCATGTGTTTTTCTGATTCGAATAGACGTTAATCATGATTAGATAAACTTGTCAATGAGATTTTGTGCACCTTTTGGGGCGAACTGTCTAGCAATTAGTACAGCACTGAGGTGTACTAACCAAGCTTTTTGTTAAAGCCGATGTTCACAAAAGTCCCATTGGTAGGCATTCTGCCATGAGACCAGTGATCCTAAACTCACTTTGAGCTGTGGAAATATGTTGGTATACATCCAGGTGCTGGTACCCTATCTGAAGCTGAAACTAGAGGCATTGTTTGAGAGATGGCGAGACGAGGCACTAGACCGGCCGCAGTGGCAGCAAGCTGAACATCTCAGGCTACGCAGGGTATTCATGGCTGTCTTCCCATTCATTCACATGTCTTGGGAGGTTAGTTTGGTTTTTACAATACCCCTAGCTAGTTTGGATTTTTGTGTCGCCTAAACAAAGTTTTGGGGGACACTTACCAATCCTTAATTCTGTATACCCGTATGACCGGATTCCGTATGCATGTTAAAGTTTAGGTTAAGTCCTCTTGTTTCTCTTGATGTTTGCTGGTTCTAAGCTTTGTTGGTTCATTGCTTGATACTCATTGTTGGTCTTTGTTAACATTGTGAGAAACTTGAATGATGATTACATTATTCTAACCTCTATAGTAATTGCCTGTTGATCCAATATACACTGAAACGTGCAATTTTCAAGTATGAAGTCAAATTAAAAAAAAAAAGTATCAAACATTCATAAATATTTCAATTTGACTCGATCCTCCTGCATTTAGCCAGCAATTTTGTTGTGTCCAATCAATGTGGAACTGCCTAAAATAACATTTTTTAAAAATAAAAATTGATTTCAGAGTACTGTCTTCCTCTATCAGCTGAGATATCTGTTCCACAAGTCAGACTGCCACTCGCCGTTCTTGAGACTTGCAGGTTGGCGTTATTGATATTTCCTTTACCATTTGCTATTTATTTTTACACAAAATGAAACTTTTTTTTGAGTTGAACAAAAAAATTGACTGGAGCAGGGTTTGAACCTGCGACCTTTGGCTTTCCATTCCGGTGCTCTACCAACTGAGCTTTCAAGCTCTATGTTGCGGTCCCTCATTTTTGTCAATGTCTTTGTTCAAGGGTGATAGTCGGAAGCTATAAACCTGTGTATTTCATGTAGCTACATGGCATATACCGCATTATTCCTGTGCCATTTTGTGTACTTTCATTTCAGCATGAGTTTCATTTTCTTATTTACAGTTTCGTCTGTTTGCTCGTCGTTACTATTTAGTTTCATAATTCTGCAATCATCTCATCTGTGTCATTCCTTTTCATTTTTGTTTCACTTTTATATCTTTAAAATATTGCAAATTCCATATTAGATGCATTTGCATGCTTTATCTTAAAATTTTAATTCCTACATTGAGATTAATGTTATTGCCTTAGATTTATGTTATTGTGTTAGACTATATGCATCTTAACTTGTATTGAAGTGTTGGTGGTCAATCAAATACGTGACATGCAGTCTAACTCAATTGAGTTCACGTTGTGAAACTACTTTTGAGGGACTCTTTAAGCTGCCACCTTTCAAGATATATGGTCCTCTAGAAAGCATCAGATTATGGGAATAATGTTTGTCTGGTTGCTAATTGTTTGGACAGGTGTGAGATTGAAGTACATGAGCAAAGAGGACATAATGGAACAGATGCAGGGAATCAGCATGGATGCAGATATCAGCAGGTTAGTTTGAAGAATCCTCAAGAATAACAGTATTGCTTGGATTTAAAAACACGAACATGCTCATCATTGTTACTCGTAGCAAATGTGAAACAGTGTATGTTACTCGTTCAAATGACACATTTTGTGGTATTTGTAGGATTAATAATGGTCAGCATTATAAATGACCGCTGGTCCATGTGTCTAGTTCAGTCATAATAAAAGCATGAGACCAACCCTTAAATTGCCAGACTTGGTCCAATGGTTTGAATATGTTTGACTGAATAGCTTAGAGTCCTGTATCTTTATTGTTTGGCAGCTGGAGATCCAGCCTGTACCATTACTTCAAGAGAGTCTTGGGTGTCCTAGCAGTCTCCATCTCCCAGGGTCTGTCTGTCGGCATCTTCTTCCTTCAGTTCCTGGAGTGGTGGTACATGAGCCAAGATCAGCAGACGCGGCTGGCCGTGACTGCTCTGCCCATACCCAAACCACCCAAGGTGTGTATATCTCAGATGTTTTGGCAAGTTTTCTCAAGGATCTCACAGGTTAAATTGCAAGGCCTTCAGTATCAAGTCGTGTTGAAAGCTATTCAAATGAACTGTTTTAATTAGGAAGGTATCCCTGAGGTGATGCTCATCTGTTGCTACTTGAGATTGGCTTGTGATTTGAATTGTGATTTGATTTGTGTTTTGCCTTGGATTGATTTGACTACACCTACATGTAGTGATGTACAAGATGTTGCATTTCAGGGTGTATGCGTCAGTGATGTAGTCGAGTCCATCACAAGTCCCTGCAAGTCCATCACAAGTCCTCCAGTCAAGCGTTGACAAAGGCATTCCTTTGTTATTGTTCTTCCACTGTTACTTAAACCGGACTTGTCATGGACTCGACTTCATCCCTAGTATGTGTATGCATGTCCTTTGTTGACCAGTAAAATGAAACAAGTCATCACTTGTCATCGCATTTCATCCAGTTTCATGAAAGAAGCGGTACCAGACTAATTCGCATGTGGTATAGGATCCTACATTGCATACATGAAAGGGCAAGCCTGGTAAAACTAGTCCCAGACCAGTCTTTGTCACAAGTGACTGTCAGTCTGTAAGATAGGTAACCAGTATTAGTCATGCACAATTACCAGTCAGTCGGGGAGTCAGTCAGTCAGTCAGCTAGGCAGACTGACACACCTTCATGAACATCTTCATCCCTTAAAAATTTGTTAAAGAGCCATTTTCCCTTGAATTTACAGTGACCTTAATTTTCACGGATTTTTTAACATATTAAGCAGGATTAGGAGTCCATGAAAACACCGTTAGGAAAGTCCTTTGTTTACCCATGGAGATAGACCCAGTGTACCGTTATGTATAACCAATGATAATCCTCAGTGGCCAGGGTCATTAAAAAACCGTGAAAAAAACCCTTACAGGATTAGTCCTATATAAGCCCCATGAAAATATCCGTGAAACAGCTCTTAAATATTCTTTTTACAGAGAAGTGGACTTTTAATGAAAATTCAAGGGATCAGATGTTCATAGTGACAACCCCCTCCCCTAAAAAAACCCCAAACAGACTTGAAAAGCCAACTTGTGCATCCTGGATTGTAGAGTACCACAACATTATTTTCATGCGTATTGGGTTTTAGCTTTTTTGTACAATATTTTCATTTTATGGAGATTTTTTTATACTTTCCACCAAAAGATTAAAGAAGCAAAGGACAGTGCACTGCCCAAAGATCCAACATTTTGTCCACTGTGCCATAAGCATCGAACAAATGATACAGCGTTATCAACATCGGGGTGAGTAAAATTTTTTTTTTTTTTATGTCAGCCTTAATAATAATGTGGTGCTTATATAGAGCTTTGGATAAAAGCCTCGAAGTGTTTAAAGGGAATATACAACATTTGCAAACATTGAAAAATGAAACTCCCAAGTTTTTTACGAAATACCTTACTAGGATGTTGGTAAATGACAGTCTAAAGCATCCTGTAAAATTATGGCACCTGGTGTCAAGTCATTTTCAAGAAAATGGTATTTTTGTATACATTTCCAACGGTGGTCGGCCGACCACCGTTGGAAAAACCCGAACTATTTTTCAACTACTGCTCCAAATTTAAATTTTTTCAGTCCAAATTTCGTTTGCTATTGGTTCATGAATGGGTGCAGGCCAGCTAGACTGGTTCCCTTACCTTACAATTTCCCGACATTTATAAATTGATCCATTTTATCTTTAGTGGAGTCAGGGAACCAGACTACTTAAACAATTTTGTTTTTCTTGATTTTTCAAGCATTTTGGAACACAAAACTTGAAACGTATCAGTCAAACAATATTTGATCTATTATACTAACCCCTCAAGTAGTTCATTTCTAAAAATTACAGCAAAAGCCAATGATGTACATTCCCTTTAACAATTATTGACCTGTTCATCAGGCCATGAAACCACTTTTCTGCAGCAGCTCGAGATCACCACAATCTATCTCACAGGTAACCCATTTATACTCCTTAATGGAGAGAGGCAATTGTAGTAAAGTGTCTTGCCCAAGGGCACAAACACCATGTTCAGACCCATGTACTGTCACACATGAGTCAAGCACGTGACCATAAGAGAGTAAATGTAGTATTGTCTTCATCACATTTTTGTAATTGAAGGCAAGGCAAAAGGAGTCCTTTCTTGGAAATAAAACTAAAGTACTGAAATGTCCCTTTCTCATCACGCCAATGCAGGTATGTTTTCTGCTATCCGTGCATCTACAGTTTCGTCAAAGGCCATCGCTGCTGCCCAGTCACCAGCTACCCAACCGAACTGAGTCACCTGATTAAGCTCTACCCACCTGATTCATGACCTTTGACCTTGCTCTGTATTTCCTTCTTTGTTTACTTGCTAAGAATGCTCTCAAGTCCATCGGAGATAAGATATTCAAGATGCATTCCCCATGCTATTTTTGAGTTTCACCTTAAAATAATTGATTTTTTTTTGTATCTGTTTTTTTCCTAGCAATGTAAAGGTTTTTCACTTTTGGATGAGACATCGAATAACAAAAATCCACGTTTAGTTATTGCATTATTTCTTCACAAAATTTTAATTATTGGCTGCCAGACTATAATTTGCCTTTCACAGGGCGGGTCATTTGTGCACAAAATGAAAGCTCTTTTTTCAGAGGGTTGCAGGCGCCGAAAATCAGAATTAAGTAGGTTTTTATTTTTTCGTTAAAAGAAACGATTGAAAATTTGTTCAGGAGAAAGAAAACTTGTTTTTTGCTGGCATGGGGTATGCATCTTTAACATCAAAATTATCAGATATTCTCAATTTTTACGCAGGCTATTTATATAAAAATTTGAAATTCAATGCATACTGTGCAAATCCAATAAGACCTTTCTTTAATAGGCAAATATATGTTTTTTTTGTTGGGAAATCGGAACTCTTTTCAAATGGTTCTTTGTTTTATCTCAATGTGACATGCACTGCAAAAATGTGTCTAATATCACATGGGGCATAAGTTCTGTGTTACATTCTTAATACATGTATATTAAAGTTGATTGTGAAAAGATTGCTGAAATATAAAAATGACAAAAATACCAGGAAGTAACAGAATACATGTTGGTTCAACTAGGATGAATGAGTTACGATTTGTAAACTGAGACATTCCTGGCTTTGGCACGCATTCATGATTAAAAAGGCGTGAAAATTTATGGCTTTTCCGGCTGTCCATTTTTCATTTTGAAAGATGTCAGAATAATTTCTAGGCGAACTATAAAATTACCCTGGTTATCCTATTAGTGCACTCAAGTTAAAAAACTATAGACGGAGAATGGGATAATAAATTTATCATATGTAGGCATTACATGTATTGAACTTCTGAACTGGAGTTTGTAAATTTATTGAAATTAAAAGTGAGGATGTACTTTTTTATTTGACTTCTTGTTGATTGGCTTGAATGCTTTTGTATGTGTTTGGTTGTTCTTTGTTTTGGATAGTTTGTATTGTAGGTTGGAGGGCTGGTGGCCGGCCATTTCGGCGAGGCCACTGGTTCAGCTTGCTTGAAAGGAGCTTTGCTGCGACCAAGTTGGTTGGCTCGGCTGGTCTTGACTGTGCTCATCTGGGCAGGGTTGGTCTCGACGGGCATTTATTGGGGTGGGCTTGGCCAGGCGAGGATGGACTACTGGGCTGCAGTGGAGTTGATTGGGCAGGGCTAGAGCAAGACTGGGCCGCCAGAGTCCGGTTGGGCTTGGGCGCGAATTTTTTTCCCCCAAACGACATCTGTTTCCCATCTTCTGATTGGTCCATTACATGCATACTAATGCCTTGTTCTCCATGACACAAACCCAAGAAAGGCTTTACGTCTTGTGAGAAATGTTCCTTCCTCACTTTAGTTATTAATGAGAAGAAGTGAAAACCGCTCACTGAGATATCAAACTCGGATCACCTTGGACATCATGAATATGCATAGCGCAGTGAGTATGAGAGCGCCCTCTTGATATTGTCCGTCCGATCTTGTTTTGGGAAAAAAACTGCTTGTCGGGTTGGTCACCGGGGCGGGTATTTTGTTGGCCGGGGTAGGCCAAGGGCGGATCGGGGGGGGGGGGGGGGGGGGGGGCAAAGGGGAACATGCCCCCCCCCCCCCCAAAGAAACCAATTGTTTTTTTATGTGACGTCGCAATAAAGGCAGGCAATGAGTACACCACCATCTTTCCTCAAAAAACATTGGTTAAAGTGGTCAGACATTTTTTGACCCACTTTTTGGGAGACACAATTTTTTTGGCCCCCCCAAAAAAATTGTGTTCTGGATCCTCCTTGGGGTAGGCTTTGGCCAGGCGAAGGTGGACTACTGGTCTGGGTTTGGTTGACCTTGGCTGGGCTGGAAAGAAATGAACTAGGGCGGAATGGGCCGAGTCCGGTTGGGCTGGGTCGGGCTGGACAGGTTGATATGGCTCGGCTCAGCTGGGCTGGGCGCTCTGCTAGGCTGGGCTAGGCTGTGCTGGGATGGACTGAACTAGGGCAGACTGGGCCGAGTCCGGGCTGGGTCGGGTAGGGCTGGCCAGGTTGATATGGCTCGGCTCAGCTGGGCTGGGTTGGGTTGAGCTCGGCTTGGCTGAGCAAACTAAAGCAGTGCTGAGCAGCTATTCCAAGAACATTGACAATGTTCATTTAATAGACAATAGTAGCTCCCTGCATTTTTCCAAGACTATTTTTAAAAAAATTGACAGAGTTTCGCCTGTGTTTTCAAGAAAAAGAAAAAACGTAAATATACAAGCATATTATGAATAAATGAACATTAAAAAAAATCAGGGCTACAAATTGGAATGCTGCAATTAAACCTTATACAGGGTGAGTCAACGAAAGAAAGAAAGAGTATAATCGGCTCGCTCCATTTCGTACAAAAACAGGCATTAAGTACATGTTATTTACTAGTTACTGTGAACATTTCACATAAAAAGTGATTTGCTTGCCCCATTCCCAAGTTACGTCTATTCTAATATGAAGATCACAAAATTCAGCTGTTCACCACTGATCATTTACCGTTCTAGGAACTGATGAATACCCATTACACACAATGAAACACGGACATTTTCCCACCTCGATGAACACAGAACTTGCTAAGGAAAACATACAGAAATCGCCATTTATATTTTAGAAAAAAATAGTGACTTGTTCCTCATATTCAAAACACAAAATCTGAAGGTAAAAATAATGTTTCAGTCTTAATTTAAATGAAACAAATCTCAGTGTATTAGGATGTTTGTGTGTAATCTGTAAATCTCACTCGGCTCAATAGCTTCCAATGGCATTCCATGCACAGCTATAGAAATGGGTTATTTTAGTAACTCGTGAATAACCTCTGATAGAGCATGAATACATTTCAGGTTTTTTTTTTAGATGAGACAGAGTGGAAGAACCTGCGCGTTTGAGATTTACTTCATTGGTGTTTCAAATTTGATTTCTTTTTAAGAGACAAAATCATTAATTCGGGTCACTTTTTTGACCAGGCTTGTACACAGAAAAGTCTCGAACGTATTTTTTTCTTATCAAACCTGAAATAAAAAGACTATGGAGTACCGTTGCCTCGTTGGGCCAACATCGAACCCAAGATATGTGGGTTATTCTGCAGGTTGTGGGTTCGATTCCAGCCTGAGGTTGTGGTTGTGTGTCCTTTGGCAAGACACTTGTCACTAATTAGTAATAAGGAGAAACAACATGCATTAAATAGAACTAATGGGCATTACACTAAAATGTAAGGGTAGGCCTATTATGAGTAATAAAATTCTGTAATTAAACATCAGGCACACACAAATCAAATCGCAAACTATTTAGGGTAATTGTAATTGAGAAATAGGCCCATGATAATTTTATAACTCAACCTAATGTGAATAAACCACACTTCCTCTGATGAAGTAACGGAATGCTATGACTAAACTTTAATACGACTGTTGAAAGTCGCTTCTTGTCTGCATGTGGGATGTGTCCATGTGTGATACAGGTTTGTGGTCTCCCTCTCTCCGCTAATTTACCAGCACAAGCTAATGCCTCAAGCAGTGTACATTTCGACTTTATGGAGCTCTTACGTTTCAAGTAGTAGTGGCTTTAATAGTGTTTACAGGAGATAAACAACATCAACAGCCTGAAAAAAAATATTCTCACATATGAAAATTTGTTTAGATATGGCCGCTGATCTGTCATGGCCCGCTTTTTTTCTGGGACAAACTGTACAGGGTGAGTAAAGAAAACCCAAATGGCAGGACCAACCTGTAGCACTTTCAAAAGCTTGGATATGAAAGCCCAGTGATTAAGCTTTCTTTTTAGTACAAAATCATTCAAATCACTCATGTACTTTTCAAGTTACGGATTTTTTTTGAACACGAACACCGTTTTAAAGTTCTGTCCACGGATCAAAACAAAGTAAGCGTTCTTTCAGCAAAATGAAAACAATTATGATGCATGTGAATTGTAATCCGTGGACAGAACTTTAAAACGGTGTTTGTGTTCAAAATTCCGTAACTTGAAAAGTACATGAGTGATTCGAATGATTCTTACACTAAACGAAAGCTCATTGATTGGGCTCTCGTATCTTAGATTTTGAAAGTGCTACAGCCAAAAATGGGTCCTGCCATTTGGTTTTAGATTTTTTTTGTGACTCACCCAGTATAACGGTTTTTTTTTTACCTTAAAAATTGGGACAGTGGCGTCTTGTTCGCCTCAATTTCGCCGTCATACCTCGAACAGGTTATGGAAATACTTGCCAAAAGCAACTATTTTTTTCAATTCCACAGATCAGCGCTTTTTCTTTGTTTAATTTGAGATATAATATAGCACCGCAAGAGTTCCCAGCAGAGATGCATCACTGCCGGGCAAGGAACACGCTGAAGCTTCAGGCTCTTCGCATACGAGGCTATCTCCTTCATAACTCGGGCAGTTCTTAAGGTCTTGAAGACACTGCATCATCTTGCGGGCCTCGCGTTCCCCCGAATCGAAAGCTCCGGCTATGTAGCCGTGTAAGACGGAGGTTGCCTCGCCGCCGAAGAAGAGGTGTACCACTCGGCTCTGGAGTTTCTGGCGGCATTTAGTAGGAACCTCCACGGGGACGTTGCTGTAGGAGCCTTTGGTGAGGGGATTCTGAGACCAGTCAGTCACCAGGATGTCGGTGGCTTCAGGGATGCTGTCACCGTAAATATTACGAAGAACTTGTTGGATCTCGGCTTTGGTCGTTTCCGAAGGTTGTGCTTCAACGCGTCGGGCTTCGTCATCTTGAAACAGCACAGAAGACAGACACAGAGTTGTACAGAAAACATATATTTACATCTTAAAATCAGCAATTGTGCATCTAAGAATGTAGATTTTGTTTTGGGGTGTTTATAACAATTAGGCATTTTATATATATTTTTTTCGCTGTTTGATGTTATGGACATGACATAGATTGTTCTCTTTACTCAGCAAAAACAAAACCACAGTCACGTGGTTTCCTTTGATATATCACAACGTAAATGGGCAGGAACCGAAAAATCTAGGAAAAGTATCAGCCCAAAGCTGAAAACTGTCTCAAATACGTAAAAAATAATGTGTAATACATCGCAAAATTTCTCTGGTTCAAGACGACTCATGTAAGTAAAATGTATGGGTCGGAAATGAACCAGACGTGCACATGTGCTGTGAAGCGTAGCTTGGATCATTGGATGGAGGACATCTAACACACTTTTTCGCACAAAAACTAAAACTAAATCCCGATATTATGTGCCATACCCGGTATGCTAGTGCAATTCTGAAAAAACAACAACAGGGGTTAGTTTTTCAAATGTTGAGCGTCGCGGACCTTTGATTGTTGAGGTTTTCAATACATAGGCCTACTGATCTTACCAGTGACAGTAAAAACTATCATGGGGTTTCCACTCGGAAACAGCCCCTCTGCCTGGTAGTTGAGAAACACCGGGAAATAACCTCTTCTCTCGCTGGCGTGAAGAACCCACTCGGTATCATCCCAAAACTTGCTTGGAAAGCTGACATAGATGTTCGTGTACGCAGCCATGCGACGCTTCTTGATCTCAACATCTTTCCATTCCGGGAGAGGCGGGATGAACTGGATCAAATTGTTCTGCAAGACGCCGATGCTGAAGGTGATAAGAACGTACTCGCCAATGTATCGCGTGCCATCCTCACACGTCACGACTACTGATGCGTCGTACTCGTTGGTATACTCTATGGATACCACCTTCTGGTTCAGACGGGTGTGGTTGATGTACTCTGGCGTCTCAAGGAAACCAGCAATTTCATCGAAGATTTTGACGAATCCTCCTTCGTCGGTGATATAGTCGACACTCGCATCACCCGTGAGTGGACCGTTTTCCTTGGTAGAGCACGATTCAGGTGGTTCAGCGGCTTCAAAATCATGGAAATACCATTCGATCGCTCTGTCAAGCGCACTGTG